GTGAAAAGTAAAACAAACTATGAACTTGAATCTTACTTTCTTTGCTCAGATTATGGGCTAGAAGCAGAACCAGGGACCCACTCATAATTTTAAAGTCCCCAAAGTCAATGAGTTTTCATTTTTATTTATTTTTAAAGATTTATTTATTTATGTATACAAGAACTGGTGTACAGGCCAGAGGTGTGTGTGGGGGGTGAGAGGATTCACCAGAGACAGAGTGGGGAACAGAACAAGCAGACTGACTGAAACACATTGCTGAGGGGAACAGCAGGCAAGACAAGAGAGGTCTGCTGTGCCATGTGGGTAGCTCCCTGACTGGACAGAAATCGAACTCGTGCTGCAGAGGATACGGATAAGCACAGTGCTGTGCTTAACCCCTTGCACCACCAGGGAAGCCCTTCATTTTTATTTTTGTAGAGCAACAGACACTTTTATGTGAAAAAAGCTGGAATATTTGGGCAAATACTCAGATTCCAAGTCCCCCTCCCCACTTTGGTGATGCCAATCAAATGGAAGAGGTGGAGAAGGAAAAGATGAGGGGAACAAGACCCCAAGGCCTGGCTGGAATGGCTCTGATCTTTCCTTCACTAGGCAGTGTCTTTGGAGGAGAAGATGGTTAGCAGAATCCCCAGGAAGGCAAAGAAGAAGAGGGGGAGGGGCTTGCCGGCTTGGGAGCAAATCCAGTACATTAATAATACTTGACTTAGGACGTTGGGCTCATTTCAGCCTCTAAGAGGCTGCTCTTTAAGGAGACACCAGCAGACCTGGGAGTTGACTTGCTGGCTCTCAAGTCAGAGCCCCTCTTCCAGGTCTCTTTGTGGGAAGTACAGAAGGATGATCTGCTCCTCCCGCTGGCCCTCTCCTAGCCCAGATGTTCCCCACCCCCAACATGGGCACCCTGACTTGTCTTCCCCTTCACACAATTCCTCCTCCCTGGTGGTGTAAGGCATTAAACACAGCACTGTGAAGCTGTCCGCAGCCACTGCAGCACAAGTTCGTTCCCCTGGTGGCCAGGGAGCTACCCACATGGTGCAGCAGACCTCTCTGGCCTCACCCGCTGCTCCCCTCAGCAGCGTATTTCAGTCAGTCTGCCTGTTCTGCTTCCCACTCTCTCTGTTGAATCCTCTCACCCTCCCCACCTCTGACCTGTACCCCTGTTCTTGTATGCATAAATAAATAAATCTAAAAAAAAACCCAACAATTTTTCCTCCAGGCTTGCCAGGCATCCTGGCTGACCTAGAATCCATCCCAAGATCTTTTCCAACAAATTTGTTTAATTTTTCTGCGCTTCAGTGACCCACTATTTTTTTTAAGATATTTATTTATTTATGCATACAAAAGCTGGGGTACAGGGCAAAGGTGTGTGTTGGGGGGGTGAGAGGATTCACCAGAGACAGAGTGGGGAACAGAACAGGCAGACTGACTGAAATACACTGCAGAGGGGAGCAGTGGGCAAGTCAGGAGAGGTCTGCTGCGCCATGTGGTGCGCCACTGTGCTGCAGTGGCTGTGGATAGCTTCATAGGTTGCGTCTTAACCCCTTGCACCATCAGGGAGGCCCATGTCCGTGTATTTTAAATGAGAGATACACTGAAGAGAGCTGAAGCACCTTCAGGCAAGAAAGGGGAGGATTTGGGGAGGGGGGTGCACCCCAGACCCAAATTTCTCCAGCAGGGGCTGCAGTTAGTGGCTTGTCGGGCCAGTGACACGGAGAGCAAACTCTGAGTCGCCCCAAACCAAGTGGGTGGGCGCAGTGGACTCCTGGGCACTGCCAGTCACCGCCAGCCCTGGTCCCATACTTCCTCCCTGGTGCCAGCTCCGCGCAGGGGGCAGAGAGCATGAGAACCTCAGGGCGCCGGGCTTCCCCAAGTCAAGCTAACTTTCCTTTGCAAAAAGCGCCTGTCCAACCTGGTGAGATTGCGGAAGCCGGAGGCGGGGGTGGGGGGGGTGGGGGGGGTCCCAGCGATTAGGATAGCGAGCGGCTCCTGGGGTATCTTCTCCCCGGGCCCAGGAAGGCCGCAGAAGGAGGATTTTCCTCCAGGAGCATTAATTTCTCCCAGGGCTTCAGGGCTCCATACCCTGCACCTCGACTCCTCCTCTGCAGGCACCACCCTGGGCCACCCCAGGCCGACTTCCCGGTCAAGCGGCCCCGGAGTCAGCTCTCCCAGCGCGGGCTCCGCGGGGCTCCCAGAAGAGCTCAGCAGAGGTAGCAGCCGCAGAGCCGGAGAGCTCCGCAACCGCGCACGTTCCGACTTGAAACGAGCGAGCGGTTAGAGTTTGGTTTGATTTCTGATCTGAATGGTGCAAACAATTTCCTCTTTGCACTCCTGGGTCGGACAACTCAAATAAATAGACCTAGTCTGGGAGTAAAAAAAGAGTTAGTTCCTATTTCTCTCCTCCAGTCATTTTTTTTTTTTTTACTTGAATTACCAGCTCAGTATCTGCTTTAACATGGGGCTTGTTGAGTTTAATTAAGCAAACCTGCTTCAGGAAAGAAAAAAAAAAAAACTTTGTCTTTATTTTTTAACGAAGTTAAGTCCGTTAAAGTCTGATTTTATTCGTTCTCATTGTCCCGGGAAAGTCTACATTTTTAGGCACTTTCTAAACACAGCTCAGATTAGGTCTTCACAAGCAGAAATGGAATTCGTTTTTTTGAGTGTTTTCAAATTTTTCTGTAATGCGTAATTGCCTATGATATTAAAAATAAGCTTTATTAAAGTAATTCCCCAATTTTATATTTTTGAAAGGTAATTGACGTGTGCTAAAGGAAGCATTCCAGAGTTACAAAAGGACAGTAACACCTCACCTCACACCCTCTCACCTCAGTCCTTCCCAAAAGAAATTGAGGTGCCCAGAATTCAGTCTCCTTCCAAATAGCTTTGTATTTTGTTTTTTATTTAAAAAAAACCACTTATTAATTATGGCTCTATTTCTTTCCTAGTGCCTTCTTTTTAGTGAATCCACTGTATTGTATTAACGTGCCATAATTTACTTAATCAGGTAATGAGTGAGTGATATTTATATGTGTCCAGTTTTGCCCTCCGTTTTTCCTCCTAAGCACACAACATCTAGTCTGTGCCTAACTGCAAGTATATCTGTGTGGTACATTCTTAGAAATAGGCTTATCAAAGGCCTGGTACATTTTTTTAAAAATAAATTTTATTGTTATATTTGCCATACAATTGCAATCCCCTTATTTTGACCCCAGTCCCTCCCCTCCCCGCCCCCCTGGCCTGGTACATTTTGAATGTTCCCAGAGGGTGAACATATTTTCACAGTGTTACAGCAATCGAAAGTTCTTTTTCAGCAACTGACTGTTGGTGTCCTTCCCTTTTCCTATGGTTTTTTGTTGACCTGGTTTCTTGTTCATTTGTTTTTATGATATTTTACTAAAGTGTGAGATTGGGGCTTGATTTTGTCAACACAGTGGACATGGGCTAGGTTTAATGGTTGTCCCTTACAGGTATTCGAGTTCTTGCAAAAAACGTTTTGCCTGGAAGAGGACAGAAGAGAAGCAATGAGATATCCAATCTGGACTCTTGCCTACTTGAATTTTCTTTATTGCAGTGTTGGGAGAGATTTGTGTTTTCTTAACCAGTTCCTCGCCTTTTCTGACTTTCTAGATTCAGAAGGCTGGAGGAGGCCCTCGCTGGACTGTGACGGAAACGGCTTCATCGCGGCAGGTCTGAGCCCTCGGGCCGAGGCCGGCGGCCACCAGCCTCCTCTGACTAAGCTTCAGTGCAGGGCAAACCCGTCCGTAGGTCACTGGCCTCGGCTCTCCGGAGAGCTTAGAAAACACCAGAAAACTGGGTGGGGTCTTGGGGGCAGCCCCAAAGGAGAGGCCGCCCTTCCACCCTGGCCGAGGGGTGGCCGCCCGCGGCCCGGCCCAGTCCCGGGCGACGTGGGAGTCAGCGGCCAGCGGCTCCCGGGACCCAGCGAGCGCCTCGCGATCACCCTCGGAGGATGAGGGTGCACGGGCGCGCTAGGGGCGGCAGAGGTCGGGCTCACTCTCCCAAAGGCGACCACCAGCCTCCGGGGCCCGCGCCAAGGCGCCCCCGCCCCCGCATTGCGTCTCCCAAAACTCCGAGGTGGGGGTTCTCCAGTCCCAGACTAGATCGCCCACGCGGCTCCTTTCAGCCTCGCGGGGTGTCACCCTGACCGCCCCAAACGCGCTCTGGCGCTTTGCGGGGTGAGGGAGTAGAGGGAGGCAATCCCAGCACGGCCTGCCCGACACTTGCAAGGAAATTTGGGAAGACAAAATAGTTTGTGTTCATTTATCCTGGGCAGAAACCTAGGCAGACCTTTAGAGGGGAGGTCAGGGGAGAACGCGGAGCCCGCGGAGCTCCGCCCGCCGTCGGCAGCCAGAGGCACTGGAGCGCCCAGGGGACCTCGCCCGCGGTTGCTGCGCGCTGACTGCGCGGGGACTTGCTGACAACTCCCAAGGTGGGCGACTTCAAGGTGGCCCCCCATTAGGGCAGTGTTTTAAGTTTGGAAATGAGATCTACTTTCCCAAGGTTTTGTTAAATTTTATCCCTTCAGAATTGGTGGTGATGGTGGTTTATGGATGGGTTTGGTAAATCAGACTTTAAAGATGTATTTTTAAAACTGTTCAGAAAATGGGGCCTTGCTGGTGGCGCAGGGGGATGCGTCTCAGCACTATGAAGCTATCCGCAGCCACTGTAGCACCAGTTTGATCCCCGCTAGGAAGCTGACCCACATGGCGCAGCAGACCTCTCCTGTCTCACCTGCTGCTCCCCTCAGCAGTGTATTTCAGTCGGTTCACCTGTTCTGTTCCCCCCTCTGTCTCAGGTGAATCCTCTCACCCCCTGCAACTCTGGCTTATACCCCAATTCTTGAATGCACAAATAAATAAATCTTTGAAAAGTTAAAGACTATTCAGAAATGACTTAGCTACTTCTTTCTTGACAAAACTGTCCCAGGGGAGGCATAAGAGGCTTTCTTTCTCACCTGATTTCTGGCCAAAGGGCGCACAACTTTTTTGGCTCCATTATTGCATTGCTTCAAGTGAAAGGGAAAAAAAAAAAACCAAAAAGTCGTACTTTACCCAAATAATTGCTTGAATTAGTGCAATTGGCACACTTGAGGCTTAAGAGCTCAGCTCCTATGCAGAAAAAGTGACCTCTCCATGAAGAAGGGCACCCCATCCACCTGAGGGGCCTTCCTGCTCCCCAGGCCACGTTCCTATGCCCCCACTCTGCCTTTTTGGTCAGAACCTGTCTTCCAGGGGTCTTTTTCAGAAGCTTTCTTGGGAGAAAGTGTGGGGAGGAAAAGCTAGGGAAGGATTTGAGGGCAGAACCAGTCACTGGTGGCAGTGGGGTGCGGGCACAAACAGCTGCAGCGAGGATGACCAGCTTTCTACCGGGGTTCCCTCCCCCCGAACCTGGCGCCATGCCGTGACCCACAGGGGCTTTGTCCACTCCATGGGACAGGGGAGGGAGGACCACCGTCTCCTCGTGTTTCCCAGCAGCTGCCTGCTTTGGTGCAGACCTCCGTCCTATCAAACTGACCCCTCCCTCTTTTTTGTGTGTAAGCAAAGTTTAAAAAACAAATAGAAATATGAAAATGAGGACCTTCGCTGGCGGTGCAGTCCCAGGGGACAATGCAGCTCCCATCGTCAAGGTTGAGCTGAGATTTTAAGCTTCAGTTTCTGAAAATCATTGTTGACATTCTTTGATATCAACTTCCCCTTTCTCTTTCTTGATTTTTACTGTTTCCTGGAACGCTTCTGAGGCAGCGTCTAAGGGGTGGGTGGGGCAGAGGGAACGCTTTGAGAGCAATGGGGGTGCCACTCACCATCCAGCGAGAGGACGTGAATCCACCCCATGGGGAAGTATAATCACATAGGGAGGAGACCCCCCAACCCAGGGTCAGGGAAAGGACAGGCAGAGAAGTGTAGAAAGGCAAAGAAGTTAACGATGTTTGGCTGTCTGGGGGCTTATCAGTGTCTGGGGTCAGAGGGAGGCTAAAGCAGTGGGCTCAGGCAAACCAGTCCGCTGGGCTCTGCAGGTGAGGAGGGGCTCCTGGGGACCAGTCCACCCCAAGACCCAACCTGGGACCACGTGGTGGCTGGCTTCCCAGATGAGCCCTCTGCGGCCTCCAGGCTGAGCCAAGGAGCCACTGGTGAACTGTCAATGCCTTTCAGGCTCCTGAAGGAGAGAGGGGAGGCTTCTGCCCCTTTCTTCCCTGCATCCTGGGATTCACTTCCAAACATTCTAAACTCCTGGTCCCTGGCCAGTGGCCTGGTGTAAACCCTTGGGTTTCTTGGGTCTCCTGGTTGCTCCTTCCCAAGAGTGAAGAAAACCCGCCAAGCTGAAGAGGGGGACCTCAGGTGGTGGGGATGTGAACAGAAATCTCTAGCATTTGGCAGGGGGTTCTTTCTAGGTACCAAAGTTTGAGCAGATTATGGGAAGCTCCCTCCCCTCAACCCTCAGTGACCGGGAGAGGCAGGCACCCCCAGGGCCTTTTCAGAGTTCTCCCACAGTTTAAGGAAGTCATTTGGGAAGGCTGCTGGGTCATGGGAGGGATGCTGGGAGGCTGGGGTTCCAAACCTCTGAGCCCCTGGCCCTCAGCAGCCCTGCAGTGAACCAGGCTTCTGACCTCAGAGCTATCCTGACTGTCTCTGAGGGTAAACATCCTCTGTACTTTGGAGACTGGTGGGACAAGAAGGGTGAGGGGGTGGCAGGGAAAGGGAGGGACATAAGGAGGGGGAGCTAGTGGATGGGAGGTTCTGAAGTCCCCCCTCCCTCTGGCTAGCCTGGAATCTAGAGGTGACCTGCTGCCTTCTCAGGGTGGGGAGGAGCATCCCATGGGGCACTGTTCCCATTAGATAAATGGGTTCCCTTGGGCGGCACCTCAGAAAGGCACTTTGGAAAGTGCCAACCTTGGGCTATGGAGGGAGCAGGAGAGGGCTGGGAGGTACCAGCCAGATCCCCCTTCATCCAGGATGGCCTGAAGGACACCCATGCTTCTGCAGAGTCACAGGGCATCCTGAAAAGCTGTGGCCCCACTGGATGAGGGGCCTGCTATTCCCATTTACAATGGAGAAACTCATAAAGCACTTGCTCCAGTGCCTGGCACATAATACGCGCCAAATGAAACTCGGTGCTGTGTGTGGCTACCCGAGGCAGAGAGCAGAGGAAGCCTTCTCAGGGGCCCTAGGGAACCGGCTGCAGGTCTGTGGCTTTGGGGGTCGGGGCCCCAGCAGCTGGGGCGGAGTGAGAAGAGGGGCTCTAGCACTGCCTCGAGCAGCTCCTCCAATCTCTGTTCCAACCCACCATCCCTGGGCGGGCGCAGGCTCCCCAGACCCCGCAGGGACCAAGGGCCGCGTCTGCGCAGCCAGGCAGCAGTGCTGGGCGGCTCGGCGCAGGGTGGGCGCGCTCGCGGGACAGTGCAAGAGGCGCAGGCAGGGACTAACGGTCCACCCGGGATTTTCCTCCGCGCTCCTGGGGTGCTCCTTCCCTTGCTTGGAACAGCAACACGGACCTGAGTGCTGGGAAGCAAGGTTTTCTTCTCCGCGGGTCCCAATCTCCAGTTCTGGGCAAATTTACCTGGTTGAGCCTTTTCTGTTCACTCCCTCTCCAGGGAAACCTCTAAGCCACTTCTGGAACTCTCAGGCTACCCGGCCCTCTAAAACTCTCTTCATGGGCCTCCCTGGTGACGCAAGGGATTAAGTCACAGCACTATGTAGCTAACCGCAGCCACTGTAGCATGAGTTCGATTCCGATTCCGGCCAGGGAGATGACCCACGTGGCACAGCAGACCTCTCCTGTCTCTCCAGCTTCTCCCCTCAGCAGCGTGTTTCCCTAGACCCGCCTGTTCTGCTCACCACCCTGTCTCTGGTGAATCCTCTCTGAACCCCCTACACATTTGGGCTGTACCCCAGTTCTTATGTGTATAAATAAATCTTTTTTAAAAAATTAAAATGGGGCCTCCTTGGCGGTGCATGGGGTTAGGACACAGCCTATGGAGCTGTCCGCAGCCACTGCAGCACGAGTTTGATCCCGCAGCCGGCCAGAGGGCAACCCACATGGCGCAGCAGACCTTTCCTGACTGGCCCACTGCTCCCCTCAGAAGAGTCGTGGGACAATCTGCCTGTTCTGTTCCCCACTCGGTCTCTGGTGAATTCCCTCATCCCCCACACCTCTGGCCTGTACCCCAGCTCTTGCATGCATAAATAAATAAATCTTAAAAAAATAAAATAAAAATAACTCTCTTCAGAGTTAGAGAATGAACGATGGCCTCCAACCATGGCCCCCACCTCCCAGCCGCTTCTGACAAATGGCACTTCCTTGTAGGGTCCCCAGAGGCAGAGAGTGAAAATGCCAGGGGAGGGCCTCCCCGGTGGCTGTGCAGCGGTTGAGCGCTGGGTTGCGAAGCTGCCCGCAGCCTCTGCAGCGCCAGTTCGATCCCCGGCTGCTCCCTGGCCACCAGAGGAGGGTCCCACATGGTGCACAGACCTCTCCTGCCACCTGCTGCTCCCCTCAGCAGTGTACTTCGGTCCTGCTGCCTGCTCTGTTCCCTGCTCTGGCTCTGGTGAGTTCTCTCACCCTCCTGCGCTTCTGACTGTACCCAGTGCTTGTATAAATACATAAATAAATAAATCTTAAAAAAATATATTTAAAAAAAATGCCAGGGGAAAAACGACTGGTCACTGGGTCCAAGTTCAATGAATTCAATGATTCCTCTTTGCTTCTTCTGTCCTTCCTTTCCTTTAAACAGGCATATTGGGGAATAGTCAGGAAATCTGCTAAGGCATGGGAATGCAGAAAGGAAGAGCCAATCCAACAACTGGCTTTTCTTCTGTCAGTAGGAGTCTGTTTGTGCCATCAGATTTGAAAAGTTACTGTGCATCTCATGGTGACATAAATGTCCCAACCAGAAGGCAAAGAACATGAATTTTCACTGGTGCATTGGGCCCTAAAGACTAGAGGCTGCAGGTCCCAAAGAGACCTATTTAAGTTATGCCCAAAACGCAATCGAGTTAGAGCATGAAAACCAAAGATCTTAATTCAGATATTTCATGTTTAAATAAAGGGGAGGGGAGGGGACACTGTCAAAATATCCAAATAATTGAAAATGTTTGTAAACATGTTCGTCTCACCAAACATCCATTTGAGTTGGTGGGTGTAGCAGAGTCAGGACGGCAAGTCGTTTCTTGGCCTAAAACCAAACCCCTCTTTGAGCCTCCACTTCTCAGTCAGAAATAGGAAAGAGGCCTCCCTTGTTGGCGCAGTGGTTGAGCGCAGGGCTGCAAAGCTACCCGCAGCCTCCGCACCACTGGTTCGATCCCCGGCCGCTGGTCGAGGGTCTCACATGGCACGCAGACCTCTCCTGCCCCCTGCTGCTCCCCTCAGCAGCGTACTTCATCAGTCTGTCTGTTCTGTTCCCTGCTCTGGCACTGGTGGATTCTCTCACTCTCCCCCGCTTCTGACTGTACCCAGTGCTGTATAAATAAATAAATAAATCTCTAGGGCCTCCCCGGTGGCGCAGCGGTTGAGCGCTGGGTTGCGAAGCTGCCCACGGCCTCTGCGGCGCCGGTTCGATCCCCGGCTGCTCCCCTGCCACTGGAGGAGGGTCCCACATGGCACGCGGACCTCTCCTGCCGCCCGCTGCTCCCCTCAGCAGTGTACTTCAGTCCTTCTGCCTGCTCTGCTCCCCGCCCTGGCTCTGGTGAATTCTCTCACCCTCCTGCGCTTCTGACTGTACCCAGTGCTTGTATAAACAAAACAAACAAACAAACAAAAAAATAAATAAAACATGCCTCTATTAAATAAATAAATAAATAAATAAATAAATAAATAAATAAATAAATCTCTAAAAAAAAATAAAGAAAAGAAATAGGAAAGAAAGAAAACAAATCCTATCTAGACTGTGAGAGCTCTGGCTGTGAGGGTCTATGGGGGTCCACGTGGAGAGTCTGGAGTAGAAGGTGGAAGGGTGGAGAAAGTAGTGCAGCAGATGGAGTCAGAAGTCCCCAGACCAAGTCCTGACTCTGTGTCTTTGATGGCCTCTAGTTTCACTTTTCTCATCTGTAAAATCGGGATAATACAGATCTCACAGGACTGCTCTGGAGAATAAACAAAGTAAAAAATGTGAAAATGCTTTGTCATTACCCAACTTTGTCCATGTCAAGTCGAAATGGGACCTTGGCAAGGAGGGCAAGGGTCCACCTTGGACCCCAGTCCAGGGGCGAGTCAGAGCATCCCCATGGCTGCTAGATGCCCTGATCCATGGGCTTGGCTGGCTCAGTCTCACCCTCTGCCAGATCCAACGGGAAGTGAGAGTCCATTGCAGCAGGCAGGACACAGCCCCTGTTTGCTTTGGCCATGTTGTGATGGCCCTGCTGGCTTTGCCAACAGGATTTTGCTGTTTGTTCTCCCGCCTGGCACCACTGTGGAGGCATCTGGTATTCTGCTCCCAATTAGATGCCTATCATGCCATGGCAAGCGGGATCTGTCGCAGCAGCCTGCTCCGACTTCCCGCTACTCCAGCGCCTTTCTCAGATGGATGGGACCCCTTCCTGTTACATTGCTATGTCCCAGGCTTGGGAAAGCAGAGTGGTAGAGGGACACAGTTTTCTTCTCTAAAATGACTGCCCAAGAATACATACTCCAGGGCAGAAAGGAATCAGGAAATAAGCCAGGAAAAGAAATACGATGGAGAGCCCGCGGAAGCAGGCACCAGTCGTAGATCTGTGAAGAACTTGTTTTGCTTCCCTCCATTTCCTTCCTCAGGCCATCTGGGGACATTAGAGGTTGTGGAATAAAGGAGAAGTGGGATCCTGGCTGAAGGTTACCTAGACCAGTCGGAGCCCATGGTTCGAGCCCATGGCAGAAGCATGACTGACAAGGGCCTGATAGAAAAAAGATGGGCTCAGAACAAAATCCCCTCCCACCCCAAGGCAGCTCCTGGACCCTCCTGCCACCTCCCCAGTGGACAGTGTACACTCAAGACACACAAGGTGCCCCCCACGTGAGGCGCTGCCCACTCACTTTCCCAGCCTGCCAGTTAATAACTTAGTCATGACTAGAATGCAAAATAATTGAAAGCAGTGCTTAGTAAATTGCAGTTCCAAGGTCTTCATTGCTTTCCTAACAATTTGCAAAACCCATTTTATTGCTTTTTTAGATTTCTCAAGTTGAAATACCACTGTGTGCAGTAATTATGCTAAGTGACATGCCAGCTGTAAAGACAAGGGTTGTGAATAATTACATTTAGCTCATGTAATCAGCCAGTGCAAGTGGGGGAGCACGGCTGGAACAGCTGCCAATCTGTCTGAACACACCCCTTGCCAGGGTGGAAGGGAAACTGGCATCTGAATTTGCCCTTTATTTATTCATTATTATTATTATTTTAAGATTTATTTGTTTATGCATACAAGAACTGGGGTACAAGCCAGAGGTGGGGGGGATGGTGAGAGGATTCACCAGAGAAAGTGGGGAACAGAACAGGCTGATTGACTGAAATACACTGCTGAGGGGAGCAGCGGGCGAGACAGGAGAAGTCTGCTGCACCATGTGGGTAGCTCCCTGGCCAGGGATCGAATTTGTGCTGCAGTGGCTGCAGATTACTTCATAGGTTGCATCTTAACCCTTTGTGCCACCAGGGAGGCCCTGAAATTGCCCTTTAAAGGCCGGTTTAAGAAAGGGTAGGGGCTGTGCCATGTGTGGTGGGTCAGGAAAGTGGCTCCCAACATGGCCGAGCATCAGAATTCACTGAAGATTTCTCAATACAGGTCAACCCCTTCCCCAGTGACTAATTTGGTCTTGGGATTGAGGGGAGGTTCATGTCTTTTAAGCTACCCAGGTGGTTCTGAGCTTAAGGTTCAGGAGATCCTGCCGAGTCCAAGATGGCCACTTTAAACACCGAGGTCTTCAAGGAAGTGACGTTTACATCAGCAAACTTTCCCTTTAATGCCGCTGTTGTAAGTGTATCTGGGGACAGGAATTTATCTACCTGCTTTCTGAAACAGATATCCATCCCCTAAAAGTTCCTTCTCCCAATATTCCTATTTCCTTTCAGGGGATTCTGTCTTTTGAAGCCATGCTGGTGTTTCCCTCTCCCTTCTCCCGCTATTCATTCGCTGCGTACCCCAGCTTTACAGTGTCTCCCTCTCTGTCTTCCTTGCTTCCCCACAGCCAGCCATTCCCATGGAGGCTGCAACGACTTGAAGCCTGAGCCCTCTGAGGAGCCTCCTAGCTGCTCTGCCATCCTTGTGGGCTCCCCTTGCCAATGAGCAATTCTTCGCCTACTGCCAGATTCATCTTTCTAAGGCTAAGTGCAAGAAGCTTTCAGGGGTTTCCCACTGCCCGCTCAACTAAGTAAGCACTTCCCTGGATCACACAGATCCCCACAAGTGTCATTCATTTATCAAATATATACTGAATTCCTCTCCCTGTGACACTAGGCTAGAAGCAGGAGATCAGGGAAAGACACCGTCTTGCCCACTGGTGAGAGACGCTGCACCAAGCCCACCACCCTGAGAAGTTTAACACCGAGCCCTCGACTAAGGGACCAAGCTTCACTGTGGCCACCCTCTTTCTGTCATCATCTCCCAATTTTTCTTCCTGATCCAGCCAAGTTGACATAGGCCTTATGATCATGTTCAGCGTTGTTTTTATATTCTTCCAGCCTCTACAGCTCAGCCTCATACTTCATCTTCATGTTTTAGAATCCTACTTGTCTTTTCCTGCCACCTCAAATCTCACCTCCTCCAATGAAGCAGACTCAATACTCCCTGCTGGATGTGAGGACGATTCCTCTCATCCACCGACTCTTTCAGTGGCACTTATGTTGGTGTAGGGTAAGGTAAAAAGTATCAGGCTTTTCTGCCCTCCCACCACTAGGATAGATGATGGATCCCTGGGGTCCCGAATGCATGCCTGATGGCGGCACCTGGAGTGGGGTGTGGGCATAGGTAGATGGGATTCACCGGGGCTGAGACTGGGCTTTTAGGGGTGGTGTTGTGGGGACTCCAGCAGAAGCCAAGAAAGAAGTAGAGGAGCAGAGAAGCCAAGAGAGAAGCAGAGTCATGAGAAGAGCAGAGAGAATGCGAGAGAATGCCAGAGAGCCCATGTAGGGTAAGGTAAAAGGTATCAGGCTTTTCTGCCCTCCCGCCATCAGGATAGATGAGGGAACCCTGTGATCCTGAATGCATGCCTGATGGCGGGCACCTGAAGTGGGTACAACTGGGCTAAGACTGTGCTTTTAAGGGTGGTGTCACAGGACGCCAGTAGAAGCCAAAAGAGAAGAAGCCCGAAGCAGAAGCAGAGAAGGCCAGAGAACCCAGATAGAGTGAAGATTTGCTGGGGGCTGGGAGGACTGCCAGCCTCCCAGCCCCCCCCCTGCCATGTACCTGGTGAACCCCAATAAAAAACCTGCAAAAAACCACTGAGGACTCTGACTCCTCCTTTACCCGGTCTGCATGGGATCAGAAAACCTGCACTGTGTCCAGTCCTGACTTTACAGCCCAGATAGAGTGAAGACTTGCTGGGGGCAGGGAGGCCTTCCAGCCTCCCGGCCCCCCAGCACCCTTGCCTGCCGTGTACCTGGCAATCCCAATAAAAGCCGAAAAAGCCACTGAGGGCTCCAGGACTCCTCCTTTACCCGGTCTGCTGGATCAGAAAACCTGCACCGGATCCTTCCTGCCCTTACAGTTGGTTATCTGTGGGCCCGTCAGACTCCACTGCACATTCCACCGAGGACAAGGGTTCCACAAGCATGTTTTGTCCCCCTCAAGCATTCAGCAGACAGTTGCTTTGGAGAGTCCTCTGGGTGAACAGGCAGGAGGTGGGTGGGGCTGGGAAGGCAGCTGCCATTTTGCCTTCTCAATAGGTAACACCAGAGTTCTGGTCTCTAGGCGGCATGGCTACCTACTGTGGCGGGCCCCAAGCACAATGAAAATGCAGGGCTCCTTGCTCAACAATTAGTCAGAATTTCAACTCAATGACAACAGAGTATTAAATCAAGTGCAGGATATTTTAAGTGCAGGCCCTGTTCTGCACAGATGGCAGGCCCACAAAGCTGATCCTGTCTTTAGTGTCAAAGGCACTGGCACCAAATCTCTCCTTAGAAAGACAAATAGGGGGCCTCCCTGGTGGCACAAGGGGTTAAGTCTTATCACTGTGAAGCTATCAGCAGCCTCTGCAGCATGAGTTCCATCTCCAGCCAGGGAGCTGACTCACATGGCCCAGCAGACCTCTCCTGACTCCCCCGCCGCTCCCCTCAGCAGTGTATTTCAGTCAGTCCACCTATTCTGTTCCCCATTCTGTCTCTGGTGAATTCTCTCACCCACCCCCACAACCCTGGCCTATACCCCAGCTCTTGTATGCTTAAATAAACAAATCTTTAAAAAAAAAAAAAAAGAGGGCCTCCCCTGGTGGCGCAGCTGTTGAGCGCTGGGGCTGCGAAGCTGCCTGCAGCCTCTGCAGCACCGATTCAATTCCCCGCCATCATCCAGGGTCCCACATGGCGCGCAGACCTCTCCTGCTGCCCGCTGCTCCCCTCAGCAGTGGATTTCAGTAAATCTGCCTGCTCCGCTCTACCCTCTGGCTCTGGTGAATTCTCTCACCCTTACGCACTTCTGACTATACCCAGTGCTTGTATAAATAAATAAATAAATCTTAAAAAAAAGAAAGAAAGAAAGAATTCAAAAGACCTCCTTTTTATTAGCTCAGGAAACTTGATTGGCTGGGGCTAGTAGAGTAAGGAGAAATGTAAAGTTTCCAGGTGGCCCCATTTCAGCACGTCCTAACATCTTTGTTTGGACCAGGTTAAAATTTATGGCAATGATGGGGATGTTGGCCCACGTTTGACAATTTTGAATCTTCTGAATGGCATCTGGAAAGGGCTGGTGAAGGGGGAGGGGAGGCCTGAGGTGATGATTATGCTTTTACTAGTCTGCCCCGTGGGAATCAAGTCCTCTTCCTGCCATCCAGCTGAGACTTGACTTACTAAATAGCCTATACCAGGAAGCCTTGGGAATCAGACCCAGGTGAGGATGAAGGTGTGTACCTGTATGCATTTCATGGCAGGACACAAATGGCTTGGGTCTAAATTTCCATTCAGTAGAATTTAGGTAATTAAGGTCCTTTGCCTGAGGGGTAGGTACTATAGGCTGCAAGTGTCCCCAGATCCCCTGAAAGTCTGGATGCCAGAAATTCATTCCAATGGCAGTCCATAAGGCAGAGCTGAGTCAACACTGGGAAGCAGGTGCTTCACTTCAGGCCTTGCCCATCTTCTACCCCTGCCCCAGACTCCTGCAAAACTCTTTCCAGGGAACTAACTCAGGAAGAGCAAGAGAGGCAAAGTCCTTGGACCACGTCCTGGAGAGGGTGGAGAATTAATTGGCAAACTAGATGAGATGTTATGCCTGGGGTCTAGACAGGTCCTGTTACGGGACAGAGAGACAACCACAGTGCCCCCAGACGGGCCATCTCAGGCTCCAGGACCCCATCAAGGAGGCTGGGGCTTACTGTACACTTATTCATTCACGGAAGTTCTTCAAAGACTTCAAATACAATCTCAAAGGATTTAGAGATCTCCTAATGTGGGGGCTCAGGTGCAGTGTCTTTCCCACCTCCCTTTCCCATTCTCATTCTGGATCAGGCTCCTCATCCTAGCATTAAGAATGGCAACTTATTTTATTAATGTACACTTGAAGGTAAAATGCATCATTTTAGCAGGTCAGTGGGAGCTATGCCTGCAAGCAGGGTGCTCTTGTCTCACCTCTTGTCTTCGCCCGCAGGACTGAGTTGGCCTGGTAAGGGAGGTGTGGGGAGATGTCTGGGCACTGAGTTAGCCGGGCTGGGAAAATGTCTGGTCTCTACCAGGTGAAGTTCAATGGCCCCAATTTCCTTACTCAGGCTCAAAGTTCCCCATTACCCTAGCCTTCTCTCTGTCTTTTATCTTGGGAGTCAAAGACCAACTGACATAAATCTGTTGGTGGAGTGAGGGCCTTGGAATCCCAGAAATTGCGAGTCCTCCTCTGAAACACTCCTCCACTCCTGGTGCACTATCTCAGGGAGTGTTCTGGATGGTGGTGCCATATAAGGGACCCATAGAAATGCCACGGCTGGGGCAAATGGTGTGTTCTGGGGCAGCACCAATAACTCCCAGAAGTCATGGTCTCACAGCACTGTGCTGTGGCTGCTGGCCTCTGCGGTGCTCATGGGAGTTGGTTATAAGACCAGGATGTCTAGATGAGAAAATAAAACTTTCAGTTGAGTCTATGGACACTGTAGACTCTGTAGGAAGAGCCAAATCATTTCCTGGGAGTGAGAGATGGAAAGGGGAAAAAATAGCAGAGATCCAGTCTGGTTCTGGGGAAAAAAAAAAAACACTTTTGTTAGGTTTTCTTTTAAAATGGTCTCTGGAACATTCAAGTCAGTTAGCACATCATCACCATTCCTATCTAGTGGTTCAGACACTGCTCAGCTGATTCACATCCACAACCATCAGAAACTCATTATCGACACACCACACATCTTCCTGCTCGAGCCCTGAACCAACTGATATGGAAAACTCAGAGCAGCCAGGATGACTGGCTGGAGGTGATACATGTTAGTGATTAAGGGTTCAGGCTTAGGAGTTTTCATTCCCGGTCTCTGGGGCAAAATTATTTATTACCTAAGCCTTGTTTTCCTCATTAAAAAAAAAAAAAGAATAACAATGATACTCGCCACATAGAGGGTTGAAATAATGTATGCAAAGCTTTTAGTGGACCAAAAGCAAGGGTGTCTTGGCCCAGCCCAAGCTGGGCTGATCACCATCACTGCAACATCATCATCGTCATTACCCCAATCATAGCTACTGTGGATTCAATAAGGTTCCAGGTACATTGCTTTAACAAGCCCTTCAATCATCTTTAAAATCCCACAAATGGATGTTTCTCCCCTAAAATGCAACTGTTGATGGATCTGTAACCTTGAGCTCAGTGGCCCACCCACTGTGCAAGTGGACTTGGAGGAAGAATGACAGGCACAGGACCATAGTGATTGAAGCAGAAAACTGGAGGCATCTGTCAGGCCCTTCTCCTCCCATGGGTCAGGACAAGTGCTAAGTTTGGGGCAGAAAGGTGCAGAGGAAGAAACAACCGACTATTTGTCCAATGCTCATCACATGTGGGAGTCTGAGCAAGCCACTTATTGCCCCAAATCTAACTCTCATTTGCAAACTGGGGACAAGGTGATAAAGTCTGCCTCACCAGCCTTGAAGCATTGAACTGAGCATTATATGAGATAGATATGGCACATAAACTTGATGTGTGTAAGGTGTTAGTATTATATTTGTCAAGCAAATGATCCATCATTTGGACCTCTGCTCCACTCTTTCTTTCTCTCATTCAACCATTATTTATTATACAGACGCCCCATTATCACACCCTACCCTGCTCCATTTATAAATCAGTGTGTTGATAGAGGGACATTCTGCTATATATAATTAGACTTTTGCAAGTTTGCCGTCTATGTGTCAGTCCTTTGTGGTCTGATTGGTTTGGAGAGACATTTTTATTTATTTTTTATTTTTTTTTAAAATGATACTTCTTCCAACTTCTATTTTTTTTATTTCTTTTAAATAAATTTTTTAAAAGATTTATTTATTTACACAAGCACTGGGTACAGTCAGAAGCGCAGGAGGGTGAGAGAATTCACCAGAGCCAGAGCGGGGAACAGAACAGGCAGAAGGACTGAAGTACACTGCTGAGGGGAGCAGTGGGCACAGCAGGAGAGGTCTGCACGCCATGTGGGACCCTTGCCGGTGGCCGGGGATCGAACCTGTGCTGCAAAGGCTGCAGGCAGCTTCGCAGCCCAGTGCTCAACCGTTGTGCCACCAGGGGAGGCCCTGGAGAGACATTTTTAGAAGCCATTATATGACTTAAAAGCAGAGGGCAACTCTGAGGTCTGATGATACCACACGGTATCTAGGAGGCTGCTTGGTCTTGGCCGTCTCTGCTCCATGCAGAAATACCTTACTGAAGAACCATTTTTTAAAAAGATTTATTTATTTATACATACCAGAGCTGGGGTACAGGCCAGAGGTGCAGGGGGTGAGAGGATTCACCAGAGACAGAGTGGGGAACAGAACAGGCAGACTGACCAAAGAACACTGCTGAGGGGAGCAGCAGGCGAGTCAGGAGAGGTCTGCTGCGCCGTGTGGTAGCTCCCTAGCTGGCTGGAATCAAACTCCTACTGCAGTCGCTGTGGATAGCTTCATAGGTTGCATCTTAACCCCTTGCTCCACCAGGGAGGCCCCCACTGAAGAACCATTAATTACGCCCTTGGTTCTAACTTGCGGCTTTAGGCGGGCTTAGGAATCAGAAGCATTTGACTCATATCTTTGCCGTGTCACTTAAAAGCTGTGGGATCTTCTGCATGTTTTGCATTAAGTTCTTTGAGTGTTAGGGTTTTTTTTTTATTATCTAAAGTGCACAGTTATGATTAGAATTAAATTAGATAAAGATTAAATAATAAGTAATATTAAAATTCATATTAAATAATATTAAAAGTATTACATTGAAACATCTGCAAGATATAGTAAGCTACCACAAAAGGTTAACTATTACCATCATTAATATTCATAAACAATGTATCAGTGCCTGTAGCCATCACCCACTAGGGTACTACATGTCTATAGAAGAAGATTCCACATGCAAACTGTGCTTAGGAATTACAGGCAAGGAAATTAGTCTCTCCTAAAGAATTATCTAACTTGATGAGTAACTTATCTTTCTCATCTTGGAGGAAGTATTGAAAATTTCTCTGCCTATAATCCCAGCGCTTCTCAGGGAGTCTGAACCCAAGCTGGACTTTACTAAAAAATAACCCCTGGTGGCGCAGGGGTTAAAGACAGCATTATCAAGCTATCACCTGCCACTGCAGCATGGGTTTGATCCCCAGCCAGGGAGCAACCTACATGGCGCAGAGACCTCTCCTGTTTCGCAGGCTGCTCCCCCTCAGCAGTGTATTTCAGTCAGTCTGCCTGTTCTGTTCCCTACTCTGTCTGTGGGGAATCCTCTCACCTCCAGCCCCCCACACACACACCTCTGGCCTGTACCCCAATTCTTATATGCATAACTAAATAAATCTTTTTAAAAAATCACCTAGAGGAGATTCTGAGCATACCAATTCCCAGCCCACCCACAAGGACCTACTAAATTGAAGCTTCTGGAAGCAGACCCTGGAATGTGCATTTTTACAAGCACCCAAAATGATGCCCCTGGGTTGATGCCCTCCTGCAGTGTGCGAGCTCCTGGTCATGAGCAGTCAGGGCAGATTGATGTAGGTGGCAGGTAAGGGAGACTGACGAGTTCTCCTTCTTCTCTAGGCAAACAGTGCACATCCAAATACTACATGCAAGACCAGGTCTGCCAGGCCTCCTGAGTCTCTTCATACCACCTTCCCTCACAAGCTCTACGCTTCCGACAGTTTTGCCATTGGCCTGGTCCTTCCACACCAGGGAATCGAGGCTTCTCAAAGGTCTTTGTACCCAGACCTTCCCAGGCCTCTCCCATATTCTGTCCCCTCAGTAATGTGCCATCACAGGGCCAGCTTTGGGTGCCAGGGACCTGGACCTAGGCCATGCTAGCGCAGCATGAAAACACAAAGTGTGGAAATCAATCCCTCGTGACTGATCTTGCTTCTGGGACTGGCATCTATGACTGTGTCAGTTCTAGAAATAAGCAGAAAACGAGGTCAAGTGCACTTGACAGTGGGAACAGAGCCATCACAGCAGAAACATACACTGTCAGGGGGCTGCATTTTGACTGAATTTAGTCTGAATTGTCTACTTACTGTATGTTTTTATCAATCCATTTATCCACCTACCTAACCAAATATCTCTATCTATATCTAGCGTCTGCCAGTGTGCCAGGCTCATTTCGGGAATACAGGCGGACCTACCTAGTTCCTATCACATCTCTTTTGGTCAGAGAACAGGCAGTGACCGTATACTTTGTGATCCTGTGTGCACGGGTCCCTCACAGAACCTGGATGGCTTCTTCCAGGCCTTGGACCTAGTCGAGCTGGAGTGGCCACCACCAGCAGGTCCCGCAGGGAAACATCCTGGCTCCGAGAACTCTGCAAGAGGAGGAGAGAGGACACAGGCGGCCGCCTCTTCTTGCCAGAGATTTGATTTCGGAAGTAGCTCTCATGAGGCAGGGAGGGGTTATCTGGAAAGGCAAAGTCAGTAGCATTAACAATCTGTGGTGCTAGGTTCACCACAAATCCCCACTGCAGGCCACTTCCAATAGGGCCCTTGGCCTGAAACTGACTGAAGCATCGGAATCAGAATCAGCCATTGCCCTTCCCGCCAAATAGTTCCCCCTTCTTGTTCTTTCATATTTTACCCTCCAACTGGTATAGACACAGATGACTGGGATTCATCTGAACATACAGGAAATTGCTCAAGAAAGTACTTTTGAGGTAACATTCTATTTTTATCTTCCTTGTCTTTCCAATAAGACTAGAGGCTGCCTAAGAACAAGGACTATATGTCACCATTAGACTAGAGTGTCCCTGAGGGCAGGGGCTTCATTTCCTCCCCCACAGGCTGGACAGTCCCCAAAGACTAGCACTGCTTGTGCTGGCTCCTCCATCCCCTGAGCTCTTGGCACTCACGTGGCTGGTTACACAGCATCTGCTTGGGGTTGCAGTGAACTGGGAACAAGGACAGCTTCTCCTTCATTTGAATCTTGGTGAAAAACTCTGACATCAAATGATGCTGCTTCCTGTCATTCTTTAGCAAAGTCCAGTTTGGGTTCAGGCTCCCTGAGAAGCGCTGAAATTTTATAGGTGAAGAAAGTCTTGGTATTTTGCCCTGGATGTGGTGCTGGGAGAACTGCTTCTGCCTGTCCCTGAGGGAGACCGTCCTGTACATCTGTGGGCTGCTGCATTCAGAGCTGGTGGTTGTGGTCAGGCTCCGCAGAGACTCAGGGGAGTCTGGGACATGGGTGGTGGATTCTGGGAAGGTTTCTACTGAGGTTAAGGGCTGGAAGAGAAAAGTGAAAAGAGTGAAAGTGAGATGTGGAAAGCAATACCTTCGTTTCTGTGACATTCTTAATTAAAACAAACAGGTTAAGAGCTGAGTTTATCAGCAACAAGAAAGATTTAGGTGAAAATGGTTTGCCAATCATAAATTGGTTAAGTATTCATGCAGGAGGTGGTAAGGAGTGTCCATAGAGCTTTCTCTAGAGGTCTTTAAACATGAGATTTTTAAACACTAGAGATTAGAAATCAGAGAAATAGGAATTATTTTATAACTATTAGACTGGCAAAAATTAGAAAACTGGGTGTGAGTGCTGGTGGGATGCAGGGCATAGGGACCCCCATGCACTGTTGATGATGAGAATATAGGTTGGTATTGTCATTCTGGTGAACCATCTAGAAATACTTGAGATTTCTGCTCTTGGGTATACATACTAAATAAGTGATTAGATAGCTCCTTTGTTTAAAAACATCAGTATTCCCAGCAATATTATTCACTAAAAGGTGGATACAACCTAAATGTATATCAACAGATGAATGGATAGAAAAAAACTGTGACATACACATACAACAGAATATTAGTCACCCTTAAAAAAGGAAATTCCAATACATGCTACAACATGAATGAACTTTGAAAACATTGTGTTAAGTGAAGTAAGCCAGATACAAATATTGCATAAGTCTACTTATATGAGGTACCTGGAATAGTCATAGGGGCAGAAAGAGAAACAGAGAGGAATGAAATAAGGCAGAAAAAATATTTGAAGAAACAATGGCCATAAATGTCTCAAATTTGGTGACAGATATCAATTTAGAAAACCAGTAAGCTCAAGAATCCTAAATAGGATAAATACAAATAAAACTATACTCAGACACATTATAGCCAAAATGTGTCTACAGGGACAAAAAGGGGACAAACTTATAAACACAGTTGACTTTTCCTTAAAAAAGAAAATGAAGAACAGAACACAATGGGACAATATTTTTTTTTTAAATATAAATCTGAAAGAAAAAAATCAATGCAGAATTCTAGTTTCAACAAAAATACTTTTCAAAATGAAAGCTAAATAAAAGCATTTTCATACAAACAAAACCAGAAAATTCATCACCAGCAGAAAGATGCACACTTTAATAAATACTAAGAAAATTTTACAGGCTAAAGGGAAATAACATCAGAAGGTAATTATATGTGTGTGTATAAACACACGTTAAAAACATTCTTCCCAATTATTTTAAGTACTATAGCTGTTTAAAGTGAAATTTATAACATTATATTGTGGGACTTACAGTGTTCATTAGTACAATAAAGGAAATCAATTTCCCATATTAAAATTAAGTCTGCATTACCTCTAAGATTCTGACAGGCTGAAGACACCTATTGCAACCCCCAGAAAAACTAACTACTTTTACAAAAATTTACAACTAAAAAGTTAGAGAGGAATTAAAATTAATATTCAATTTTTCAATTAACCCAAAAAAAAAGAGAGAAAGTGAAGAACACAAGGGGAAAAAACACAGAAAAAGTAAATAGAAAATGACAAAATTTCAGCCCCAAATTCAAGCATGCTAATAATAAGTGAAAATGGGATAAACATTCACATTAAAAGTCAGAGAAAGGGGGACTCCCTAGTGGCTAGGGGGTTAAAGTCTCAGAGCTGCCAGGCAATTTGGCAGCCACTGTAGCCTGAGTTCGATCCCACATGGCACAGCAGACCTCTCCTGTCTGGCCCGCTGCTCCCCTCAGCAGTGCATTTCAGTAGATCCACCTGCTCTGCTCCCCACTCTGTCCCTGGTGAACCCTCTTTCACACACACACACACACACACACACACACACACGCACGCACACACACGCACACACACACAGCACCTCTGACCTCTATCCCAGTTCTTGTATGAATAAATAAATAAAAATAAATCTTTAAATATATATATATAATATGCTTGAGAAATATATATATAAAAGGTCAAAGAAAGGACAAGAGACACTGCAAGAAAGCAAGGACACTAAACAAAAAAGATCTACTGATGTCTGCCAATAAGAGAGGTCTTTAAGTGTAATGGGAAAATGTCTTTATTTGAAGAGGGCATAATTGTTTATGATGAAAATTTTTAAAAAAACAAAAATCTCACTAGAATTCATGAGAAATTTAAGTGTCAGCACTCAATATAATATAGAAAGAAACTACTATTTCTAAATATAACATCAAACAACTGTAAACTGAAATTTAAATAAATAATACTATTTGCAATATTGTCAAAGAAAAAATACTCAGGAATAAATTTAACAAAAGATGTGCAAAATCTCTACATTGAAAATTACAAAACTTAATTGAGAGAAATTAAAGACCTAAATTAATGGACATACAAACCATGTTCATGGATTGGAAGTTTCATTATTATTAAACCCATTCATTCACCTCAAAATTTGCCACAGATTCACTGCAATAACTATCATAATCCCACCATGCCTTTTTTGTAAGTTGAAAATTAGTTCTAAAATTTATTTATTTATTTATTTTTTAAAAACATGAATTTATTTATTTTTTTAAATTTTTTTTTAATTTCATTTTTTTTAAAGATTTATTTATACAAGCACTGGGTACAGGCAGAAGCGAGGGAGGGTGAGAGAATTCACCAGAGCCAGAGTGGGGAGCAGAGCAGGCAGAAGGACCGAAATACACTGCTGAGGGGAGCAGCGGGTGGCAGGAGAGGTCTGCGCACCATGTGGGACCCTCCTCCGGTGGCCTGGGAGCAGCCGGGGATTGAACCGGCGCTGCAGAGGCTGCGGGCAGCTTCACAAGCCAGCGCTCAACTGCTATGCCACCGGGGAGGCCCAGTTCTAAAATTTATATGGAAATATGAAGAACCTAGAAAAGACAAAATAGTCTTGAAAAAGAAGAACAAAACTGGAGGGCTTATACTATCTGATTTCAGAACTTTCTACGTTAACTACAGTAATCAAGACAGTGTGGTACTGGCGTTAAGGATAGGCAAAAAAAAAAAATCACAGGAAAAGAATAAAATGCAGAAAAGATCCGCTTTTGTATGGTGAATCAATTTTCAACCAATGCACCAAAGCAATCTAATGAGAAAGGAAAGTGTTTTCAATAAACAGTGTTGGAATTAGATATGAGAAAAACAAACATTACCTAGCATTCTCAAAAATTAATTTGAAATGAATCATGAACCTATAATTAAACTTTTTAGGGAAAAAAACCCTGGGGAAGATCTTTGTGACCTGGGTGTACATGAAAATTTACTAGTTAGGACACAGGAAAATTTACTAGTTAGGATAAGCATGAAAAAAAATGTATAAACTTCATCAAAATTAAAATTTTTCACCAAAGACACAATTAATAAAAAGAATAGGCAAGTTTCTAGAATATTTAAGAATTCTTGTAACTCAATAGTATAAAGACAATCCTAGTTAAAAAAAGGAGAGAGGTAAAAACTTGCATAGACTCTCCACAGACAAAGATATATGAGAAACCAATAAGCACTTTACAAAATTCTAAACATTATTAACCATTAGGGAATTAAATGTAAATTAAAAGTACAATGTGATATCACAAAATATCCATTAGAGTGACTAAAATTTAAAAGACAGATAATACCAAATGTTGACAAAAATGAAGCACCTGGAACTCTTATACATTGTTGGCTGAAATGTACAGAGATATTTTCATTTTGAATATAGATTCTGGAGTTTCTTATAAAGTTATATGTAGACCAACCCTTTGACATAGTAATCCTTCCCTCAGATAGTTATCCAAGAGAAATGAAAACAGATGTCCACAAAAAGACTTGTACAAGAATATTCATAGCAGCTTTCATGACAACAGCAAAAATAAAAAACTGGGAACAACCCAAACAACCAGGAGGATGGTAAAATGTAGTATATTTATATGATGGGATACAATTCAGCAATAAGGAAGAACAAACTGTGGACATATACAACAACATGGATGAATCTCACAGATACAATACAGAGCTAAAGAAGCCAGACACAAAAGGATACTACCACATTATTCCATTTATTTTTAAATTCTAGAATAAACAAAGCTAATCTAAGATAAAAAGGTCAAGAGTCTGCATAGTGGATGCCTCAGGGAGGGATGAGGTAAGCAACTGGAGGGAACTCTGTGGAAGTAACAGAAAGTTCTATATTCTGATAGGTATATGGTCACAGGTATGTATTTATTTCTCAGAAGTGCACAGTTAAGATTTGAGCATTTTGAAGCATGTAAATTTATTTTTTAAAAAGATTTATTTATTTATTTATACAAGCACTGGGTACAGTCAGAAGCGCAGGAAGGTGAGAGAATTCACCAGAGTCAGAGTGGAGAGCAGAGCAGGCAGACTGATGATGTACACTGCTGAGGGGAGCAGTGGGGCAGCAGGAGAGGTCTGCGCGCCACATGGGACCCTCACCCGGCAGCCGGGGATCGAACCAGCGCTGCAGAGGCTGCAGGCAGCTTTGCAACCGAGTGCCCAACCACGAAGCATGTAAATTTAGTCTCAAAAAGGGCAAAGAAAGGAAAAATAGGGTTCAAGAGGAAAACAAGCAGGACATAGAATGCGATATATAAACCAATCACACTTACTTAAATTTTACTTACATTTAAATGTATGGTTTTTTTTAAATCCCTGCTTTGCAAGGCAACATAATCTCAAATGATGGATAGGAGAAAGGGAGGAAAGTACAGAGAAAAAAGGGAAAAGTAAATAAATAAAATAAGCAAAGGTCTTGAATGAACCAAGTATTTTTGATTAACTCAACCCTCTGCAGTGGAAATCAAAAAAAAGAGAAATAATAATAAAATGTCACTGCCTTATTTTGTAGCCTCTTTATTTTGTTTTTAAAAGATTTTATTTTTATTTATTTATGCATACGAGAGCTGGGGTGTAGGCCAGAGGGGCAGGGTGGTGAGAAGATTCACCAGAGACATAATGGGGAGAACAGGTAGATTGACTGAAATACACTGCTGAGGGGAGCAGCGGGTGAGACAGGAGAGGTCTGCTGCACCATGTGGGTCAGTTCCCTGGGGGTGGGGGGGGGATCGAAGTAGTGCTGAAGTGGCTGCGGATAGCTTCATAATGCTGAGACTTAACCCCTTGTGCCACCAGGGAGGCCCCCTTTGTGACCTCTTTAAAGGACCAGCATCATTTTAATTATCTTAGATTAATGAGAAACAAAGACAATCTTACAAACTGGTGGTAATATTAAAATACTAGCTAATGCTTCCCGAGTCCTGTGTGCCATGTACCTCCTAGACACCAGACCCCACACATTTTGGGATATCCTTTCATTTAATCCTCACAGTAACCCACTGGAAGGGACTACTATTAAAACTCCATTTTATAAGATGGGGAAACTCAAGGAGACTAGAAGGACTAAATGGAAGCCTGTATATAATAAAAGGAGACTCCAGAATCCCAACAGAGGTAGCCAGATCCCTAAAGGATACTCCTCTCTCTTTTTAAAATTGTGATAACACCCAACATAAAATTTACCATCTTAACTATTTTGAAGTGTACAGTCCTAACACCTTAACTACATGCATGTGTTGTGAAACATATCTCTGAAACGTTTTCATCTTGCAAGACAAAGTTCTGCACCATTCAACAATCCCCCTTTGCTACCTGCCTAGCAAGTGTGTGTGCCATTCCACAACGTGGGCTTCACAGATGAGGAAGAGGAGGCCCAGGGAGGTTAAGTGGCTTCCTCAAAGGGCAGTGGTATATCAGGTGTGGAGAAGGGACCAGAAACAAGAAACCCACCATTCCCTCCCATTTCCGCCCTCTCGGGAGGTGGAGCTCACTCACCATAGTGCGGGTGAAGAGGTTCACTGCAGAAGTAGAACTGGCCCCCCTGATTCTGGAGTTGGGATTACTGGGCTCCAGCTCAGAGCCACTGAGAAGGCTTGAGTTCCTCAGGTCAGGTACAGATTTGTACTGCCTCACGGATGAGAGTTTGTGGGGATCAGAGGCAGTCTTCCTCCTCAGGGCCTCCTGGTTGAAGCTGCTGTCGTCTTTCTTTATGTCTTTGACTTTCAAGCACAATTCAGGTGTGTAGGTCACTAATGTCATTGGCTGGAGAAAACCAAACACACATTCTGTGGGAACCCAGCTCTGTCCACTTCCAGATTCATCTGCACCCAAAGATAGGTGCAAAGGAGAAGAGAAGGAAAGTGATAGGTATCAGTCTCTAACTTGGGGCTCTTAACCTGGGATTCAGTACTCCTAGAAGGCTTGTGGATGGCTTCATGGGGTCTTTGAGTCACTTTAAATTGCAGTTTTACAATTGTATCTTTATGTACTTTATGGCAAGAGATTCCATAGCTTTTTCAGATTCTCAAGGGGTCTAATGCCCTACACACACATATATATAAACAATTTGCTCTAATACTGTCCTTTTAGGTGAGCTTTTGAGAATAAAGAGATGATCTGAGAAGTCAACTGAATCTTTCCACTGAGCTGGAAGACAGAGGTAGGCAGAGAAGAGGGACTCCAAAGATTCAGATGAGAGGCCTCTGGGCAGCCGGCCCACAGCCAGAGCAGGCCCACGCTGTGAGCAGAGAGCGGTATGGAAGGACCCACTGCGATCAGACTTCCCACGTAATGTCTGTCTCCCCTGCCCCCACCCCCAGCTCTTCCCTGTACCTCCTGTGTTAGCTGTGCCCCTGGCCTGCTGAGGGGGTCATGTTCCAACCCAAGCTGGAGTTGGGGACCATGAGTACATGTGCTGAAGCCTGCTCCCTAAATGGGGATTCTGCTCAGCCTCCCAGCTGCTTCTGCTCCTACTGCAGGTGGCAAGGCCAGACCAGAGAGTCTTCTCTGCCTGGATGGGGGGATCCTCAGAAGGACGCAGGGCTTCTCATGACTTCCGGGCTCCCCTCCTGTGGCCAGCCCTCCATGCAGCCCCATTCCTTCAGTGTGTCTGGGCTCTGAGTAGTGGTCTCCTCAGCACCCCCCCACGGATTGGCCCCAGCTGGGGAAGGGTGCCGGGCATGCGAGCTCCCCTCCCATCCGAGTTTACTTGTTTGGAGCTGTGGGTGATGGTCTTGTATTTCTGCCGTTGCTTCTGTCTCCAGCTCCTCGTACTCTTCCCTCTCGACTGTTCGCCCACGGACTCCCCCTGCATCTCTACCTTCTTCTCTTTCATTTGGAAGGATTTTTTCTCCTGTTTGAGTCTCAGCTCCTGGATCAGTTGCCTGCCAGTGAAGAACAGTAAGTGTCACACAGGGATGGGCTGTGTGTGTGGACATTCTCCTAAAGGGGTGCACAGGACTGGGCAGAGGACCAATGCTCCATTTCCCCCCAAAAGAGCGGTCTGCACAGATGATTGCACGTCACAGAACAGGATGTGGAAGAGAGGGTGGTCCCCCCACTCCTATCATTCCCAATCTGGGGACCAGCATCCAAGGAGAGACATGCAGTAAAGGGGCAACACCCTAGTCCACATCCCCTCACTCACCCCCCACTTCCCAGTGGGCCAGATTCCATACAAGGCAGGTCTGGGTAGGAGGGGAAACTTAGCAGCTCCCATCTCAGAGCACTTCATATGCTGGGCCTCTCTAGTTGACAATGTAATAGAAATAATATAGCCCCAGGTGTCAGGAGATAGGGGTTCTAGTCCCTCTTCCGTCATCATCATCTGTAGAAGCCTTTCTCTCTCTGACCACCCCTTCCTTAAAATGAGGTGGTGGGTGGGGACTGGACTCGATGGAATGAGTCTCTTCCAGCTCTCAGATTTTATACCTGCTTGAAGCCACAAGGCAGCTCGGAGGGGCTGGGCATTCTACCGTGGGGGTGGCTGTCTCAAGGTGAGCATCTAGAAACAGCCACTCAGCTACCCAACAACACCTCACCCGGGGGAATTTATGATTTCAGGTCCTTGGGAGGCCCTGGCAACTTCAAGTTTGGGGCCTGAAGCTCATAGCCCTCCCTGCCACCCCAGGCCTGCTGCCCATCAAGTTAAGCTTAATCCCCTCAACACCAGCCCACCTTGCCCCTCCCACCCCCAAGGTGCTCCCCCACCCCCAGAGCCTTCTTACCTGGCATACAGTTCCCGAGCCCTGGAAGCAACAGTATTCTGGAAGAGGGAGTTGTTGTCTTGGAAGAACTTCTGATACTTGTCGGAGATCAGACTGGGATAAATCAGGCGGAACCCCCCACAGTGTTCCTTCTCATACTTCTCGGTCTTCTCTACCCGCACGGCCTGGAAGCCCTTGACTTCCTCAATCCTGTGGAACAGAACACAGGGCTGCTGCTGGGCTTTCTTGGGACAAGCTTGGAGGGGCTGTGGACAAGCCCAGTGTCATCTGGGGCTAGACAGAGGCCTGGCACACCAGGGTGGCCCGCCAGCATTGACTAAATAAACGTGTGAACATTTTCTTGAAAGGAGAGTCTGGACCTCCGGGGAAGGCCAGTGTCAAGCTGCACTAAGAGCTGCTTAGAACAGTCTTCTGACGGCTCACCAAATTCTCCCCTGACACAAGTAAAACCCCTCAGCTCAGTTCTGAGAAGGCACACTGTCGCCACTTTCCCATTCACAGCCATTATTACCCTTCTCTGGAGAACCGGCAAGCCTGTGTTTTGCTAAACTTGAGAGTTTCTAGGCTGAGCTTGATGAGCTTTTATGAGCTGTGATGATCTCATTCTTCCTCACAGCCCCCTGGGGAGGTGGAGGTCAGGGAGGAAGGAATGGAAAGCCCCCTTACAGCAGGGAAACCAGGAGCTGCTGAGATACCCCAGGCCAAGTCAAGACAGGAGGCCCGGTCAGAGGAAGCCCCTGCTGCCCCTGGGCTGCACAGAGCAGCAGCAGGCCCCGGGCTCCCAGACACGCACCAACTGGGCTCTGGGGCCAGACATGCCACCTAATAGCAGGGTGACCTGGGGCAAGTCAGTTCCCTTTGCAGTGTCTTGCTCAGGCTTGGCTCTAACAATAGGGTCCTATAACCCTCATGCTACCTGCCTATTGTCCTCCTCACAGGGAGAACAGTGCGCATCCCAACATGGATGCCATCACCCCAGTTCTAGAAGCTCGTTCCCAAAGGATCAGGCTGGCTCAGCCCATGGTGGAGAGCTGGGGCAGGGTGGGGGACCTAGTGGGTTCGAAAGACAACAAAGGCTTCTCTGTGACCATCCTCAGGCTTCAGACAGCAGAATACCCGGCAGAACAAGCCCTGTTGAAGGGTAAATGCCGCCCCTCCGGGAAGCAGTCTCTCCTGCCAGCACACTGATCTGACGGGGTAAGACAGACAAATCTTTGGTTTCTTGTAAAAATAAAGTGATGGTTTTACTTTTTATATTGGCAACTCCTTAATCTCCATGTGATATTTAAAAACTCATATCCTTGGGGCCTCCCCAGTGGCGCAGCGGTTGAGCGCTGGGTTGCGAAGCTGCCCGCAGCCTCTGCGGCGCCGGTTCGATCCCCGGCTGCTTCCCGGCCACCGGCGAAGGATCCCACATGGCGCGCAGACCTCTCCTGCCGCCCGCTGCTCCCCTCAGCAGTGTACTTCGGTCCTTCTGCCTGCTCTGCTCCCCGCTCTGGCTCTGGTGAATTCTCTCACCCTCCCGCGCTTCTGACTGTACCCAGTGCATGTATAGACAAAACAAACAAACAAACAAAATAAATAAATAAAACATGCCTCTATAAAAAAAAAAATAAATAAATAAAAAATAAACTATTAAAAAAAATAAATAAAAACTCATATCCATTATACACAGTTGCCTATAACAATCTCCTATTTGGGGGAAAATAGGAATATTCACAGTCAAACTGTCTCAAACTGTCACAATGTACAAAAATAAATGAATTTTCCACATAGGATTATCATTCATTAGAACTAACTCCCCCTTCCCCACCAACTCCATGCAAGATATTTAAATAGCCATGAACACAAATTATGGCATCAGGTACAATGATAAGCCTTTTAAATGCATGATCTCACTTGATTCCCCCAATACCCTGATAAAGCATTACCTCCATTCCATGGGCAGAACACTGAGGCTTAGAGATTTGACATAAAAGTCATATACCTGATGGATGGTGGAGTCCTAATTTGGATCCAGACAAGTCAGTCTTATTGGGAGCAGGGCAGTCATAGAGAAGAGGCTTCCAGGAATGGGTAAGATGCTTGGGGGCAGGGGGCAGCACCCCTGTACCTGTTCTCTCGAGAACGGCATTGCTGCAGACACCGTCCCCGTTGTCTCTCCTCCTCTAGGACTTTCTTTTTGTCACAGCTTCCCAGGTTGATCAGGACCAAGGTGTCGTACAGCAGACTGTCCTTCACCTCTTTATCCAGCCATGTGTCAGTGGAAAAGCTAGGAGAGTGGTTGACCTGTGAGGACAGGACAGGAGCTGGAGGCTGGAAGATGCCAGGGAGGTGCCAAAGCCCACCCTGGGGCCCTGGTTTCCAAAATGAGCTGATGGGAAACAGGGGAATGTGTAAACGGGATACACAATGAGAAACAGAGGAAATGGACCCTCCAGTTCAGCTTAACTAGCTTTTATTTCAGGCCTTTTTTCTTAAGGAGCATGGGAGTGGAGGTGGGGGCCTAGGGGCCTTATTTAGTTCCCCTCTACCTGATGTGTGAGTTCTCTCTTGTGCACTAGCATCTCATAGAGCCAGTGCCGGGGAGGGAGTGGGGAGTGTGGGGTGGGGAGGGCCAGAGGGCCAGGAGGTAAGGATCAGAAAGGAGGGGTACATTTAGGATCCTGACTTGGGTTGGGGGGAGGAGGAGATAGAGGACTCATTTCTGCTCACAGAAAAGTCCATACTGTTCAGAGGTACTATGGTGACATTAGAGGATTTCTAGCAATTTCTGAAGGCTTGCTGTAGGTGGCTTATTCTGATCTTTGGGTAAGAACTCTAAACAGGCGCTTCCCTGGTGATGCAAGGGGTTAACCCACTGCAGCACAAGTTCAACTCCCAGCCAGGGAGGTGACCCATATGGGCAGCAGATCTATCCAGTCTCACCCGCTGCTCCCCTCAGCAGTATATTTCAGTAGATCCACCTGTTTTATTTCCCACTCTGTCTCTGGTGAATCCTTTCACCCCACACACCTCTGGCTTACACCCCCAGCTCTTGTATGCATAAATAAATAAAATAAATCTTTTTTTTTTCAAAAGAACTCTAAATAGCCATATTCTTTTTTTAAAAAAAGATTATTTATGCATATAAGAACTAGGGTACAGGCCTCCCTGGCCTGCGGGGATTGAATTCATGCTGCAGTGGCTGCGGATATAGCTCCATAGCCCCTTGCTCCACCAGGGAGGCCCTAAACAGCCATATTCTTCCGATCACCACCCCCACCACACACACACAAATACACACACACACACACACACACACACACACACACACACGGAAATAGAGGAAACCATAGAAATTTAATGTGTAATTCTGGGTTCTCTGCTGAACGCTGACTGTCCTTGGCAGCTGGCACTAGCACCTCTGACTTGCATGTCCCTTCTCAGCCCCATTGCCTGTGATGAATGGTCACTTGAGAGTGCTGCCCAGCACAAATCCAGTCAGGATGAGAAGCAGTCTCAGAAAAATTCCACTTCCTCCTCACCCACATCCCTCATGTCTGGGGCAGGCAGGAAATTCACTGGGTGAATTTCCCCAGAGCCATGGATCCCAGGCCTCTCTCCTGGCGCATGGAACTGAACCATCAGGTCAGACAGTTTCCTTCTGATACTGAACATCGTCAACTCACCTTTGACAAAGAACACACCCTTTCCGGGGGCTACTCTTAAAAAAGGTAGAGTTGTCTTTAGAATCGCTCTGTACTTGTGATCAATCAGCATTTCCAAGCCTGGATGGGCCTCCAGAAGGCACAGGGATCTCTCTAATTCCCGGCCGTCTACCCCCCTCTGGTGGCCATTTCTCAGCTAAGGGAGAGGCCCCGGGCCGTGAGCAACGAGGGCGGGACTGGCCTGGCAAAGGTAATTGAAACCATCTTAAGTGAGCCAGGAGGGCAGAGGGATGAGCCTAAAGCTGACAGGCCCCAATAACAGGGGCAGCCTTCACCCCTTGCCGGGACAGCCCTACCTCCAGCAGCCACGGCTTGAGTTTGTGGTCCAGTAAAATGTCAAAGCCCAGGATTTCAAAGCAGGCACTGTTGAGCGTGTGGTTGGGGAAGCAGGTGTGGTAGTTGTGCTTGATGATGGGGTGGGCCGAGATGATAGTCTTGATGATCACGTCCTCAATGTCTCTCCATATCTGCTCGACGTTGTAACCATGGTTCTGCATGAACATGTTAAATGTGGAGAGCTTCCTGGAAGAGATATAGGCCGTGAGACAGGGTGGTTCCTCAGGTCATCTAAGATGGTGGGGCTTGGAAGCAGAAACTTCCAGAGAAGATAGGCTCCAGAGCCAATGAGATGGACACCCAAGAGGCAGGGGACACTCAGGCTGTATGAACACAGGAGGGGCCTGCAGGAACCACAAGGCCACATTCATCAAGCTTTCACAGCCTTGGAGAGGATGAAGATATAACAACCTGGCTTGCCTGGAAAACTTAATGAACAAATAAAAACCCAACACCCTACGTCATGGTTTTGCTTTGGTGCCCATGGTTTTCCAGCCACCTGGTGTTCATTAGAAGGTTGTGGGGAGCCTTTAGGAACACTGTTATGAGGGTACCATCTAAGCCATCTGAGGGGATTCTGGGAACAATAAAGACACAGAAACAAGTTCTAGGGCTGTCCTTGGGGAAAAGGCAGCCCTAGGACATTTGCACAAATAAGGTAATCAACCATCAGGCTAACTGGTGCAGCCCTGATTTTAGAACTGAAAGTTCCCACATCCCAGGAAATCCCTCATTTGCAGACAAACCAAGATGGCTGGCCACCCTATCACAGAAGAGAGGTCTGTGAGGAAACATGTGAGGTCAGCTCGTAGCTGGGCAGTGATGGGAAAGGGCAAGTCTGATAGGTCCAAGAGGCAATGGCGGGGCCAGTTACCCATCCTCCAACACCCTCCACCCCCACCACACACACACACACACACACACACACACACACACAAAGCATGTGCAGAGTCAAAGTGGAAAGTGGAAATATGGGTGGAGGAAATGAGGGGAGTGAAGAGAAAGAGAATGAGAAGACAAGCGACTCACCCGCGCAGTTCAAAGAGCGCACAGGGCCCCAGTAAATAGAGTCAAAGGAGGAAGGGGTCGGTGAGCACATGGCACAATGCATACTTGTTAAGGGTCTGCTGTGTGTGCAAAGTCGGAGCAACAAGGGGATCTCAAGAAATCGCCACGTCTATCTGGGAAGCCCGAGGGCCGTTTGGGAAGTCAACACACATGAACAGCCAAGACTGCGTTTATGCAAGATGGACACACAAAAGCCACCCCACACAGAGACCCACCTCATCGTCATGAAATGGAGTGTTGCACATGAATGAATTTTCCAGATCACTTAAAGCCAACCTTTTCAAGTGCAAAGGAATGTATTTAATTTGCCTAATTGGAAAATAAATTTTCCCCAAATAGATTATACATATCCCAGGATTCACAACAGACTTTATGTAACAACGTAACCTTTTCTTGCGGACTCAGGCACATCACAATGTAATTTCATAAGCCCAGTGATTAGTCAGATCAATTTAGCATGCCAGCCATGTGCTAGCACCCTGAAAGACTGAGCTGCCTGCCCTCTGCCCCAGAGGCCTGACAGGCCTCCAGCTTTCTGTCTTCTCCTTCACCGCTCTTACCAGGCCTGCAGCCCCATCTGTCGGGGTGGGATCTTACTGAGGGTGCTGATAGGCACAAACTGAGGAGAGCAAAGTGGGGGCAAGGCGGAGCAGTCAGTATGCAAAGCAGATTGTCTCAAAAGAGGAAGAAGAAATGGAAAACAGAAACAAAAAAGGAAGGAGAGCAGGAAAGAAGGACTCTGCCCAGCAACACGGGAAGCATCAGAGGGCCAGGGCACCATCTGACCCTCGAGGAGGGGAAGTACAATCGGGGACACGCGACAAACAGGCGCCCAGAGCAAAGAGCGTGTATGGACCACAGTTGACATTGACCATGGGGCCGGTGGAGTGCAGTGGTGGACAAGTTACTGTGGGGGGTTAGACTCAGCTGCCACAGGTTTGTCCTTAGAGATGGAACCCGATCCCCTTGTCTGTTAGGTGAGGCCCACCGAGAAGACAGTCATGTGGTCCCTCAGTGTCACGAGGCTGGACCACAGCCAGGCACCTGATCAGAAAGGGCAACATGGGAGCTTCGTGAGACAGAAGGGCCTTAAGGATGCTCTTCCAGGCTCAGGTGGAATTGAGCAAAGGTGAAGGTGGGAATGAGCAAGGCCTGGACACCAGATGAGCGCAAGGGCACCCTGGAGGGAACAGCACAGGCAGTATCACCAAATGGTCAGGGTGCAGACTTGGGAATTAAATGGCTCGAGTTTGAATTCCAGCAGTTCTGCCACTTCCCAGCTGTGTGACCTTGGTTACTTCACCTCTTCACACCTCAGTTTTCTGATTGGCAAAACAGGGATGATGGTAGTAACGCTTACTTGGTGGTGCTGATGGTTGTGTGAGGATTAAATGGCTTGAGGAACATAAGTTACTAAGATCAGTGTCTGGCATAGAGCGAGCCCTCAACAAGCAAAATGTTGACTATAAGGTAGCAGTAATAACTGGGAAATTGGGCCAGGTCAAGTAGAAGGTTTTGAATTTGACACTCTGGGCGGTTGAGAGTCACACTGGCCACTCAAAAGTGGAAGGAACAAAGGCGTGGAGTGTCAGAGTGACAGCAGTCTCTGCTTACATGAGGGTGATTGCTTTTGAAGCCCAGTCATACACATCTCAACAGAGTCTCACGGCACGCATGTGCGGAGGCCCGCCAGTGTTCATACTTTGCATGTCATTTGAAAGATGAGAAAATGGAGGTGCAGAAGGTTAAGTAGTGAGAGGAGCAGGGAGCAGAGCAAGGAGGCCAGTGCAGCCATCTGGGTCTGAGGCTGGAGAAAGGCCTAGTGGGAAGGAAGGAGGAGCCAGGGGAATCCAATGACTCACTGGAAAAGGAAACATGCGAGATGACCGGAGACTCCAATCCTGCAGAGTGGAAGGGAGCGGTGGGGAGCTATGCAGAGATGCCAGTTTGGAATGCTGGGGTGGTGCCAGGAGAGAGAACACGCCCATGTTGGGAAATGCTAAGTTGGTGCAACAGGGAGACGTCCAGGTGGAACTGAGGAGAGATGGGCCTGGAGCTGAGGGGAGAAAGGCTGAGCCAAGTTTTGGGGTGGGGGGGGAATCCAGACAGCTGCTCCAGCAGAGGTGGGTGGAGGAGAGCAGAGGGTGAGGCCAGGCCTGGGGTGAGAGAAAGAGAGGTAAGAAAGAAGAGGAAGGAGGGAGGGAAGAAGGAAGACAGCAGAATACTGCATAGCCTCATTTTAGTCCTGGCACCCCACAACACACCCCCATCATGGCCTGGGCTGTTAGTTCTTACAGGAGGAGGGGAGTGAGGGCCCCGTGACTGCATTCCCTTACTCAGAAAAATCAGTGTGACTATGAACACCACGCCGTTCACACAGTGGTCAGGACGCCCTCGTGCCGCAGCCCAGGAAAGGGAGGCCCAGAGCAAAGAAGTGACTTGTCCAAGCTCACTCAGCCAGCAGGAGTCACAGTCAGGACTGGAAGGCGGGTCTCACCGAGCACCTCCACTCCACATGCCACAGGCAGCAGTTCAGGTAGGGAAGGGGGTGGGACGGGTGAGCTTCAGGCAGAACAGGTGATTTCTCCTCCAGGCCCCACACATCTCCTCAGCCAGGCTTAGCGGGGGGGATCATCCACTTGTGTTTTGGAGCTCTAGCACCAAGGAGGAAGGAGGGAGTCGTGAAACTTGGCGTGCCTCTCCAAGGCTCTGCAGTCAGACAGTCGCCCGTGTCTCAGTCCCTGGAAGCCTGGCGCAGCTGCAAGAGTGTGAGCCTCGCAGTCTGAAAGGCCATCTTGGCCTCCTGCGCTGGCACTTACAGCTGTGGGCAACTCACTCAACCTCTCAGAGCGGGTTCTCTCATCTGTCCAGTGGAGACAGCACCTAACTCACAGCTCTCCCCCTGCAGGGGAGATGACAAAGCCTCTGCCATATGAGCAGTCCACGGGGAAACGCACACAAAGCCCTGGCACAGGCCCAACACACAGGGGCCTCTGTACACACCTCCTCTCCCCCTTCACTGGGCATGTTCACATTCTTTTTCTTAAAACACAGATGAGACAGGATTAGACAATAACATGAATGAGCCACTTGGGAAGCTACTCTCACGCCTTCGTCTCATTTCCCCCACTTCTTCTGGGGAAACTTAAAGCCAGCTAGCCACATGTCATGTCACACCAGGGCCTGGTGTCACATTGTCAGAAAGTCTATGGGAGCACACCCCGCCTGCCCCGGGGAACCACGGGCCAAGGAGCAACTGCCGGCACCTCCACGCCCCATGGCAGACTCACCATCAGTATCTCTTGGTTTCAAACATCAGAAGGTGCTAAACTCTAGCCAGGTGGGAAAAAAAATCAGAAGGGCCAAGTGTACTAGGTGGGTAGGCAGGGGTGTGTGTGTGTGTGTGTGTGTGTGTGTATACCCTGCTGGGGAAACAGCCCCTGTTTATCTCTCCTCTTCCCCAGCTCCCGGGGTTTACGATGTGGCCTTCTTTTAATGATTAACAGTCAGAGGGCAGAGACTAAGGAGTCCGTTCTGGGTTTAGAGGAAAAGAAATAGTTTCTGAGACCACATGACCCAAGACGGCAACACTGACGGGCAAGGTCCCAGAGGGCAGTTGAGACTGGAAGGGAAAGGAAGGGGAGGGGAAGCCGCTTCCTCACCTCTTGCTGCCAGTGTGAGCGTCTTGAATGAAATTAGAACTGTGCTTATTAATGGAATAATTGGTCAGGTGCATGCAGATATCGTCCTGGGGAGAGAACATAAGTATGTGGGGTCAGGAAGAAGGGCAGGCCTTCAGAGCCTCTCTGCCCCTCCCATGTCTCCCCCCAGCCCCCCAGGGCTTAAAGAGATGGAAGAGAAAGGGTATGGCTGAAGGCTCACGCAAACTGGCAAAAGAGAGGAAGTAAGCAGGTTTAACACTGCCCAGAGTAGAAGAAACTCCAGTTCCTAGCGAGATTGAGTGGTGCCTGCAGAGAGCGGGGGCCGCAGGGGTAGGAATGGGTTCTCCCAGGCTCTTTTTCCCTCTGCACCTTGGGCCTGAGACACTGGCTTTGCCTGCAGGCCATGCATCCCAGCCTCACCTCCTTCTGGCTCTGGGACTTTGCACAGGTCCCTTACACTCTGGTTTTCATTTCCTCATCTGTCACCTGGAAACAACAATCCCTATTTCTGAGGGCCCCTGGGAGGGTTAAATGAAAGAACAGATGCAAACTGGCACACAGTAAGTGCTCAGCAAATGACAGTCGTGCCCATGCTGTCTCAAAAGGAAGGTTTTAAACACACTAAGGGAGAGGGGGCGCTGGCGTGTCCCCTGAGCTCACCAGGTTGTCTGTGCAGGGATGGGAGTAAGAGGTTGTCGCAAAGCGGGCGAGTCCTTCGTTGTACACAAAAATCCTGAGAGGGTCACAGGATGTCATCAGCACATAAATTCGGAGGTCAAACTTGAACCCGTCGATGATAAAGGGCTGGCAGGAGAGACACAAACATTTGAGGTGAAATTCAACTTGTAGATCAGAATGCAAGTATGGCCAGGGTTGGGGAGGGACACAAGGGACCTGGGCTCTATAGCCCACCATGTGACCATGTCACTAAACCCCATGTCCCTCGATTTTCTGATCTGTCAAATGGCACTAAGTACCACCTCCAAGAGATCTCCTGGCAACTAAAGAAGGTGACATTAAAAAGTTCTGCCATGTAGGACATGCTGTCAACATCCAGGGCTGTGCTTTTGTTTCATTCCTGCAAGAATTCTCCCTGCCCGACCTCTCCTGACTCGCCCGCTGCTCCCCTCAGCAGTGTATTCCAGTCAGCCTGCCTGTTCTGTTTCCCACTCTGTCTCTGGTGAATCCTCTCACCCCCCCCCATACGTCTGGCCTGTACCCCAGTTCTTGTATGCATAAATAAATAAATCTTTAAAAAAAAAAAAAGAATTTTCCCTGCCCTACTGACCTGTGCTGCCAGCCAGCCCCCCTTCCTCCAAGAACCCTCCCTTCAGAGGGCTTTACCCTGTAGCTTCTGACCTCCAGTCACAGAGTAAAGCTGGTTGCCATTATCTCTCCTGGAATATTCCCCTCACCCAAATGAGGTGAAACTTCCCACAGGACAAAGGTGCTCTCCCAACTAATGTCTGTTAGAGGCAAGAGGCCAGCCTGGCGGAGCCAGACTGACTGACGAGGGTGCAAGGGTAAGGGACATCCTGGCCCAGGTACATGTCACGTCTCTGATCAGAGGGCTCTGTGTGGCAAAATCACTCACACCCACACCCTCTGATCCCTTAGCTCACATTCCATCCAGTGGGGCTCGAGCCTGAGGTTGTGTGGGTGACAGATAAATAACCACAATGAGGAAGTACCTTTGAAATATAGAGCTGACAGATCATATCCTCCCCTGGTTTGATTTCTTTCACCGTCCGGGTGATAAATATACCTCTTCCTTGGCAGCCCGAATCCGGCTTACAAATGTATGTCTTATTTTTTCTTGACCTGCTGTAATTCTGCAAATCTCCCCAGCTATGAGAGCAGGGAGGGAATGAGAAAGAGATGCACCTTTAGCTGGGGAGCAGTGAAAAGGAAGTCTAGCTCTTTATTTAAAAAAAAAAACAAACTATCCAATATGACAAAAACCCTGGAATTGACAGATGCTGAGCCGACCAGCCACAGGAGACACGGGCGCACACAGTAGAGACGCAGGTTTTGAAGTGATTCAGGCCTGGAATTAAGCCCAGGCAACACCATTGCCAGCTGAGTAGTCCTTTGCAAGGACTTGACTATCTAAGCCTCAATTCCATCATCTACACAATGAGGTTAATGCCACCTATCTCTCATGGCGATGGGCGACATGACCCTGTGCAGGCTGCTACATGCTGTGTACCCTGAAAGGGAGCTCTAATCCAGGTCACTGGGTTCTCTGAGGTTGCAGATGGATTTGGAGTTCCAGATCTGACACAAGCCCTGACAAGTGACAAGCCTTGAATGGATCAATCTCTCCCCTCCACTCTGGATTCTCCATTTATAACTCCCACTCCATCCAGAATATGAGGGGGCAAAAGCTATCTTGAATATACATGGAAAAAAGTATCTTCCTAAGGAAGAAATAAACCAACTTAATGGATTATAAATCTCAGCCTCGCTCTACTTCTTGGTTTGCATTTTTACCCCAAGGAGCCTTGTGGGGGTGGGGAGAAAGTCATTTAATAGCAAGGCTCCTCAGTGGCCATGAAATTGGGAGGCACCTGTTGACGTGATGGCAAACACATTTCCTTCTCAGTTGTTGCTAAAGCTCAAAGTTGTTCCAGACAAGCCAGGAAAGGCTGGAACCCTGCAGCTCCTGGCTGGAGGAAGCCCTGGATGGAGAGGGGAGAGTAGGATTCCTCTGGGTTTGGCATATGACTATAATTCTGACGGGGACACCTCTCTGCCCTCCTTCACCTCATCTCAAACACCACATCGTGTCCAGATCATCTCACATTTCTCCTGTTTCTCTGTGGTGTAGTCCAGACTATTTTATGTACCAGAAATGGATGTCCAGTCTCACTAAGGGTAACATGGGACCAGAGGTGGGGAAGGGCTGACTATCTCGAGACGCTGCCGGGGAGACAGCCCAAGCGTGCCCTCCCTGCTCCTCACCTGGGTGCTAACCTTTACCTCACTCCCTTCAGAAGTGCTCCCCATCCTTAACAATTCAGACACTGTAGAGTTAAAAGGTTGGAACAAGTTCAAAATCAACAGTATCAGAACAAATTCTCTTCCCAGCTTCTGGCACAGGCTCTCAAGCACCCAGCCCCTCAATGGCATCTATTGTAGAGGCAGAACCTTGTGTTTTCTAAACCTTGGACACATACAGTCTTTATCTTTTTCTTCCTGAAGAGGAGAGAGAGATGGGACCTCAGCTGGGAAGGCAAAGTAGCAACCAGGCAAGTGGGGGCAAGAGGGAGGAGTAGCTGGCAGTGCCACATGGGGGAGGGAGCATAGGCAGCCACTCACTCGGCCGGGAGACACCAGGTCTTAGGGAAGAAGTGGAAATCTTTAGGGAACATCTTTAACATGCGGCTCATATTCCTGGCCAGCAAGTCCTTTCGGCAGATCTCATTCATCCCAGGGAAGTGATTAATTTTCTGCAAAGGAAGTCAGAATTCATGAACGATGGGAATACCCATGAGTCCCTCTCAGGGACTAGTCAAAGAAGAAGGGGTCCCACTGAGTGGATGCCACACTTATATGAAGAACCAGTTCTGACCCAGATACCTGGTAGCTTTTCATTTCCATCACCCGCTCCAGTGACACCGAGTAGTCAGTCCAGTAGAGAGTCCAGTCATCGTTTTCCCCACCCTCTCGAAGGCCATACTGCTGGGCGGCCCTCCGCACTGCCATGGAGTTGGAGCAAGAAAGGCCTGTTAGCCTGGAAAGCGGGGGAGGAGCATGGGGTGGGAAGGTTATGTTTCTTGGGGCTCCCAGACCAAGCACTGCTGGGAGACACCTCGACTCCTTGGGGCGAGAAGCCATCTTCCCCACTGGACACACCATTGCCAAGAAAGGAAGGTGGAGAGTTGCAAGCTGTGGAAGAATACAGCTTATGTCCCACTGTCCCCACCGAAGGTGATCTGGTATGAAGGTTTCACGGGCACTGCTTCCCCTTGCCAGGAAGTAGGCCTCTGGCTTTCCTCCAAACACTAAGCCTTGACTGTTCAGGGAATAGAAACTAATCCTTAACATCACCAAAGTCAAGCTTAATTAGTAAGGTAAATGGACAGGAAAAAAAATTAAACAATGTATTTCCAAACCACATATATGCTGTCACATCCTTCTTCCCTTGTCTCTGTTTGCATTAGTAACTGGCAACTGATTCCAATACAAACTCAAAATGCCTTCAAGGCCTGGAAAGGAACATGTGCTTGCAGTGATCGGGAGACACGGGGCCAGCTTACAGCGTTCTGATTCAAAACGAAAATGATGACCACACTGTGCTTTACTGCGCAGAGTAGGTCTGTAGGTTATCTTTAGGCATGACTCCAGCCTGCGACTTGTGCTCAAAGGAGTCACTGACCGTAGCAACAGCTGCTTCTGGACAACCAGACCCCCAGATCACCACAGATAAGCACCAGTGAGAGTCGAGGTCCTCACCATTGTGTCAAAGCCCCTATTTTCTTGGAATGAGATTCCCAACCTCCTCAAACAGTTCACTGAGCTGGAAGAAGCAAATATTTGGAGACAACTCTTTTTTATTCTCAAAAATATATGAGTGCACTCTCCTGCCTGCCTGAGACCATGCACAAGCTCTCTTTTTCTTTCTCCTTTTCCTAATAAACCTGTCCTTTTAAAATGTGAAAAAAAAAAAAAGAAGGGAAAAGAAGAATATGCAAGAGTGACCCTTTCCAGGCCTTTGGGGGAATCCAGTGGGTCCCCATCATAGATCCCTTAAACAGATACTCACCACTGTCGTATCGGCAGCTGGATAGATTGATCACCAATCATCTGGAAAAGAGAAAACGGAAAGCAGCAAGACAGAGACAGACACGCCTGCCAGAACAAGTGACTGTACCCCAAGACACGCCATCCCAGCTGGAGCTGCGTGCAGCCCAACCTGCCACCTAAGGCCTGGACTGACCGTCCCCTTCCTGATGACACCACTCAAAAGGGCGGGTGCCGGTACTCTCACTCTGACACTAGGTAGAAACTCTGGATTGCAGATGCAGCTCAGTATGCTTCAGCTTCCTATCAGCATCATCACCTCCTCCATCCTTTCACTCCGGTGACATATCAGGGACAGAAGCTGAAAATCTTTTTGGCCAAAATACTCATTGGTCTTCCCTCTCCTCCCTCAAGAGACACTGTGAGTTAGACAGAAGACAAGCTCTCAAGGCCTCAGAGAGTCTGAGCAGTGATTCATTTCCCCCCAGAATGGAGCAAGATGTGGCAAAATCCGAAACAAGAACTGAAGTACAGAAGCTTCAGGTGAGAGCCTGTGAAGCCAGGGCAGTCCTGTCAGATTTAAAGCACCCTCCATCACCAGGGTGATAAGAACTTTCTTAAAAGAAGGAGATAATCTCTTCCCCCACACAATTTTGTTTTTTAATTAAAAACATACAGAATGAAGATTAGGACAAAGTGTGGCTTTAGCATATACACACCATTATTTGATTCTATAAAAAAATCATTACAAGTGCGTTCTTTTTAAATGAGTCAAAAGAGGTTTCCAGTTGCAGCACACGATCAGTCTCAGCCCGTGGTTTCTCTGTCACAATCCTATCCACAGCTAAGGCCTCCTTCCCCACCCCATGTCCCATCTTTTCAATCCTAACCTCTTTTTCTTCCTCTTCTTCTTGCCTTGCTGTTGGGCATTCTGAAGGCCCTTTTGGGCCCCTGTGTTCTCTCTCACAAAAGCCAGGGTGCTGATTTCTTTCAGATCTTCTATGGAACTGTCCTCCCTCTCCTCCGAGTCTGTCTCTTCCTCGCCTTCCAAAGGCAGGCCCTGGGGCATCTCCTGGGCCCCCGCAGAGGCTCTGGGGAAATACACCTGCCCCCTGGAGAGGGCAGAAGGAGCAGCAGTTACTTGGATCCACCTGCAGGGGGACCCCCTACCTTACTCATGTGAGTGGTGGACCAGGGTTTGGCCACCAGGCAACAGATTTCTGGTTATAAAATGCCACCCACCTGCAGGGTTAGTGCCAGCTCCAGGAGGGAGCTGATCCCACCTTTTGCCACTGACTATGACCTTGGGGACTCACTCAACCAACGGTGGCCCTGCTTTTTCCCACCTGGGGTTCTCAGGAGCAGGCTGAGATGCTATGCATGGCACCACCTGGTAAACAATCTTATTATTAAAGTGAGTGAGTGTCTAGAGACAGCCTCAGAAACAAGTCCAAAGCCTCCCTAGCTGAGGGAATTAGTCCCAGAGGGTGCAGATGAGGTGCTTGGAGGAGGTCCCTTAACTGTTTGGGCCCTGCACTGAACCTCCTGCACCAATCTGAGAGTGAATGCAACGGTTGCTCGTGTGGTCCAGAGATGACTGAACAAAACGGAAATCCAGGGCCAAATGTAGACCTTCACAGAGCCCAGCCGCAGAAAAGGCTGCCGCATCTCCCCTAAGACCCAATTAAAAACAAGATCAAACTGTACAACACCTATAAAGAAGTTCTGCAAAGTTCTCACTCCCCACCCCTATAATGACTTCTTTGATGGTTGCTTGAAATTTCAAATGTTTTAGTGGTTTTTAAGGCTCCTGGCTTCCTACCCCTCAGGAATGTGCTCCATTTGCTCCTGCGTAATCCAGGCTGCCCAGGCCCAGTTAGCTGATTCATACCTCTTCCCATCCAAGACTTCTGTGACTGTAAGGCCAAATTCTGGTGTTCTCACTTCCTCTCCTCGCCTCCCCAAACCCTGCCAACTCCTCACCATTTCAGCCCCTCTGCTTTGATGCCTGCGCTCCTCTTGCCACTTACTACCCATCGTTCCCTCACAAACTCATGGGTATTTTTTCCCAAAGATATTAATAATATCTTCATTCGAATTTATTACTGTTGTTGCTATAGATAACATTAAAGGAGGTTTAGAAAAGGGTAGGGTGGGAAATCACCTGTAGTTTTTCTACCCCAACATAACAACCTTGACCCTTTGTGTATCTTCTTTCATTCTTAATTTTCAACCTCACTATTCTCATCATTCTAATCAAAACAAACAATTTTGCATCTGCTTTTTGCCCATTTAGTATCATATCATAAACTCCCTTTGGGATGTGGCAACTTCCACATGCTTCTAGTCTTTTAAACAACATCCCATTGAAGGGATGTGTTACTAAATTTAACCAACCATTGCCCTATTGCTGGCAACACAAATTGCTTTTGGCTTTTCCATGGTATAAATAGCTCTAAAATGCACCCTTTCAATTTATTGCTTTACGATTATTTTCTTAAGCTTCTATCCAGAACCACGATCATCAGTTTAATGAATATGAAAATTATGTAGTTTCTGATATTTATGTATGTGTTTATTTATTTATATCACCATGTTGTTTCCCAGAGGGGTTCCAACAATTGGGACTACTACCAGCGACATGCAATTATAACACGCTCACCACAGTCATGAGATCTCTTGGGAATCGCCCCCTCCGAACCAAAGCTTGCTAATTCTAGACAAGCTTTATATCCCACGGCCATGTTTTTAATGTTACTACACCCTAGCACCTCTCTGTCCCTATCCCAAGCCTAAATTGGTGGAGGGGCGGCACCTCTAACTCAGAGGCTACCTACAAATAACAAGCCCTTATGTGGGTATAGTTCTTGAGGCATTTCAGAGAATAGTCACATACACCATCTCGTAGAATGCTCACAACACCCCCGAGAAGAAAGGCAGAATTATTAAGTCCACCAAGGATTGTGGCTTATCTCTCTGTTGCTGAGGAAGCTGCCACTTATATCCAAGTCCTTTTCATGGGGACACCTGAGCAAGGGACAGCAAGAATTGTGCTCAGTACAGCTAACCAGTGAAACCTGGGCCCCGGTGAATGGGCACATTCTTGCAAAGTTCAAGAGGATTAAGGTACAGGAAATCTTGACCTTGGGCTTCTCCTTTCTTCCAAGTAAACCATAGTCAGCTCTACTCCCCTATCCCTCCGCTAGGGCACCTATTTACCAAGCCCTGGAGGAGTGTCTCCGTTTACCTAAAGGTTAATGCTAACTTGAGGAGAGAAAACTGACCCCGAATTGGATCTCTGAGTTGCCATTGTTTTGTCCTTTTTCGAGTCCTTGCCCAAGTGGTGAGAACAACTCATGTCTGCTTTTGTCTGCCTCAAAGACAAGAACCCCCATAATGGTCAAATTCTGCTTACTCTTGTGTGGAAAGGCACGAGGCACAGAGTCAGGAGCTGGGCCCATGTAATTTAAAAAAAAAAAACCTGTTCACTGCAGCATTCTTGCCTGTGTGCCAATGTATTCTAGGTTACCTGTGAAACGAGAGGTCACCTGGTTGGCACCGGAGACAGATGGAAGATATCAAACAATAGTCATTGGCATATGTCATTATTTTTTGATTTTTTAGTCTTTTTCTCCAGGGCACCCCAACCCTCACCCCAACCCTCTATTTCCTTTTTAATGCAAGGCTAAATCCTGCTGGCCTCTCTCCAAAGCCTCCTGACAGAGACTACCTCCCTAAAAGGTTGTCTATGGGGCTTGCACCCTAAATGTAGCTCGTAGAAACAGGCTACAGTTGTGTGTTGCTGTTACAGTTGTTAAATAGAAGTACCTGATGATACATATTTCTATTTCTTTTGGAAAAGTTGGTTCTCATTGCGTCACTCCAGCAGTCAACCAGAACCAAGTAATGGTTACCTCTTTAGACATTTTCCGGTCTGCCTCAGTCCGTAACATTCCCTATTGTCTCCCAGATGCAGGAGCTAAGCAGCAGTTATGCTCGTGCTGCTATTTTCCTTATAACATTAAATCAGAGGGACCATTTCCTCATACCCACAACACCACTCTTGTTTAGGCTACACGTCTGGCTCCATAAACCAAATTTTCCAGTCCTCCTCTGGAAAATATTTCTGGCCTCCAAGCAGTAACAAGTTAGAACAAAAACTGCTTTCCCCAGGGCTGTACCAGAAAAAAAGTTAACGCCCCCATTTTCAGAAGAAGAATAAGATTTGATCTAGCTGAAACCAAAACCTCTGAGACTTTTCAGATGTGGGCCTTATGTTGTTCTACTAGACTTCTCTTATTTAATCTCAGCAACTACTCCCTGCTAACCCAGGGACTCCCCCCTACTCTGCTGCCTAACAATTTGGCTGTCCAGAGCAGTATTGTAGCTCTGAGGAATCAAAGGAGGAGAGGCAAGAGACCTAAAGAGAACACACGCGAGTAAAATATATCCACACACCGCAGTTAGGGACTTCTGCGCTCAGAGGTGTGGCTTTAAACCCTTAACAAACAGCTGCAGTGTGATGGCTGAGATTATACTAAAGCACTTCATATACATAATGCCTCATCCTAGCACAGATTATAGCACATAGTATCTTCCTCCCATTACAGATGACAAGTCCAAGGCAGGGAGAGGTTAGAAGCCATGTCTGTCTGACACACAGCCTGACTCTTTCACACTCCACCTTTTTCTCTCTGCTTATCACCCATAAACGGTGTGACAGTAACATGAAGCAACTGATCTTTTAGTTCCCAGGAGTCTGGGTGATTTTAGTCCCTTAAGAATCAGTTGGTCTCATATTCCCCCAACTGCCTCTAAATTCCCACCTCTAGCAAGAGGACGGAATCTCCCTAGATTCATCCATAACCTGGGATTTCTATTATTTCTACTTTGTTCTTATTTTCACTCTTTCTTTTCACCAATGTCCACACGGCACAAGGGCTCTTATTTTGGGGTGTAATTAGAACATTTTCTAAGCTCTTATGGAGCATATTATAGTTGGAAGGGACTTATGAGTGTGTCGAGTCCAACCTGTTTGCTTTTCTTAGAGACAGTTTTGAAATTTCCCCCTCCCAGCTAGGGAAGAGGATTTGCATATGACCAGTGCACAATTCAACAGAGCCAGGACTGATGCCCCAGCCTCCGGCCCCCTCTGCTTATCTTTCTATTATGTCAGGTTAGTGGGTAGGTAATGTGAACTAAGTGCTCTGAGGAGTTTAAAATAGTAGACTAAGTTATGCTACCAATGTAGCAAGTGTAGTAAATATCTTTGTTTTTTCTTAGTGACATAAGACACATTCAGTTGACCTTTCCAAAGAGATAGTTAAAACAGTGGGGGGTGGAGCAATTGTATGGGGAATATAAAAATAAAATTTATAATAAAAAAAACAGTGGGGGGTGGGGGTGGGGGACTGATGTTTCCTTCTATTTTAGAATGGGATTTGATCTTGGGATGGTTGAGAGGCTCCCAACCAAATCCTGACAATGTCTTTTCCTGGCCACCAGGGGGAGAGGGTGAGCACTGGGATGGTTCCCTGCAAACACTTTGCAGGCTGTTTGGAAAATCTCAAAGGAGGAACCAGGTCTCATTTCAACTTCTGAAGGACTATACGTGTTAACTACGTTTCTTTCCCCTAAAAGCGTCACAGAATGGTGGGAAGCGTTCACTGGTTTGTGTGTTTTTTGTGCAAGGTTGAATTAACATGGATATCCTGCAAATGGGAGGAAAGAATTTGATGATTGATTAAGTGATAAAAGCCTTAAAAGTGCATGTTTCAAGTTTTAGCCAAGCTTTTTCATCCTGAACATCACAGCCCAGACTTTTCTTCCAGTCTATAGCAATAAATATGGCACTGAAGAGCTTTCCTACTTTGTCTGCCTTGGCCTTCCCTCTCTCCCTACCAGTAATAGGTTTTCCTGTACCTCCACCTTCCCTTTTCATCCATGAGTCCTCATTCCCCTACTAGAAGCATCCCTCTGAAAATCTCCAGTGGCTAGCTCTTGGAAAAGCCAAAATGGATGGAGGGGGAAGGAGATGTGGAGGTAAGACCTCTAAATATTGCTTTCAGCTTTGTCTCTTTGACTTGGTATGTCTCCTCCCTCATTCCCTCTCTTCCCTGTGATTACAAGGCCACAAGGAACATAAAAGCTTCATATGGAGAAATTTCTTATATTTTGAGTTTTCATTCACAGAATGAAATGCCTACTATGGCCTTTTGGCTTTTCATTCTAGCCACCCCTTGAATCTCAACACAGCTTAAAGGGGTCTTTGGCAAAATGCAAACTAATTAGGGAGGAGGGAGCACTCAACTGTTCAAGGGTTCTGCCAGTAAGAAGTGCTGACAATGACCTGCCACATTCACTGAGAACAATAAGAATCTTGCTGACTTAAATGTCATCTTTTATTCTGCTGGAAATTGAGGAATTCTACAAGATTGGAAGATGCAATTTTCAGGTCAGGCTCTGAACAGCCATTTTCTCCATAATAATACTCACTGCATTATTAGCAAACACAGGTGGATCCCAGTCCAAATGCCAACCCTAACACTGAAAGTGTGACTTGGGTGAGTTTAACTGAGTCTCTCTGTACCTCATAATACATAATACAATAAAAGATGACATTCAAGTCCGCATAATATAAGATTCCCTTTTTTTTTTTTTTTTTTGTGGGACCCTCGCCGTGGCCAGGGATTGAACTGGCGCTGCAGAGGCAGCCTCGCAACCCAGCGCTCAACCACTGCGTCACCAAGGGAGACCCAATATGAGATTCCTTATAAGTAAAATGAGGGTAATAAAAACAATTCATTTTATGGGGTTGTTACGGTTTCTAAAGATGCAGTTAAGGTTTCTAATGCTCTTACAGGAGTGTTTGGTTCAATATAAGGGCTATATTATAAGATGAAAACACACGCTAGGATGAGGTGCATATTAAGTAACTTATTGAAGGGCCTGGAACATACCTGTGCTAAAAGACGTTAGCTCCTTCCCACGTCACCCCCAAAGGTAAGTTACATTTTTCTTAGGGTTCGAATCCTACAGAAGAACTTTCCTCAAGCCTAAGAGAGTTTTCCCTCAGGTAGGTGAGAAATAACACAGAAAGAAAAATGATCCAGAGAAGGACCCAGTGGCGGGGAAGGAGGAGGCAGAGCAAGCTCAGCTAGATACCCAGAGATCTCTGGTATCCAAGGAACAGTTTCCTGAGGACACCGGTTTGGGAGGTCGAGGGAGGGCAGGAGCTGCAGGGTGCACTGGGAGGGAGACCCGGGTGTGGGAGAAAGGTGGGGACAGGTGGGGGTATGGAGCTGGGAAAAGAAGGGTCAGTGTGGGAACCGGGTCCTGGCTTCGGGGTACGGAGGGTTAGGAAGGGGGTGAGGTATTTCAGCGGCCAGCGCGAGTGCGGGCGGGGAAGCGGGCGAGCGGTTAGCTGGAGACGCGGGGAGACCCGGGCCGCGGAGCCATGGGCGCAGGGCCGTGTGCTGGGCGTAGAACGCCGCCAGGGCGGGCAGAGCGAACAGCTCTGAGGTACCGGGCACCGTGGGGGGACGCGGGCGCGGGTGCAGAACCAGATTTTCAGTGGGGAGCCTCTAGGACACCGCAGTCCGGGGCCCGCACAGCCTCCGGGGCGCTCTTACCGCGATCCCTCTCCCCCGTGTCGCCCCTGCTCCGCAGCCCGTGTCGCTCTCACACTTTCGGGCGCCCTCTTGGAAGGGTTAAGCAGACACGCCTGCACGGGCTGCCCGACCACCCCAAACCCCAAACTAAGCTCCTCCCAATTTGGTCCGTCCGGCCCGCGGATTTGCATATAGGGCTTTCTAGGCCTGCGATTGGTCCTCGAGGTGAGATGCCACGCCCCCTGCTCCCGAATCAAAATAACCGCCCCCGCGCTCCTGGAGGGCGGCGCCCGAGGTTGTCCCGGGAGACGCGGAGGACGCCGGGTCCTGCTCCGGCCGCGCGGGGCCCCGCTACCGCTAGTCCTCCGCGCGTCCCCGCCCAGCCGCGCCGCGTGCCCGCCTCCGCCGCCCACCCCGCGCCGGGGCCCGCGCCCCCTTCCTGCCCTCGGGCCCGCGCCCCCTGCGTGCAGCGCGCGGGTGCGGCCAACGGCTGGGCCCGCGTAGGTCTGAAACGTCTGGATTGCCTGCAGCTCTCCAGCGGCGCTGGCTGCTCTGGGAGGGGGGCGCTTAGGTCGGCTTGGAAGGTAAATATCCAAACCAGGAAGAAGAGGCGCCTTGCAGAGTGCTCGACATTGAGACCCAAGTCTGCCTGTCTGAGGTTTTTAGCTTCTTTACAGGAAAAGGGGTATCGCAAACCTATAATGAATCGCCCAGCCTTACTGAATTATGACATCTCCTCCAGACTGTGGGGGTCATCGCCCCTCCCCTGAACTGGCTGATAGAGGGCCACCCAGGGGGCAGGGGTCTTGGCTGTCTTCAGAAAGGTGGGGCATTGGAATTAATGATAGGATTCAAATAGTTCGTTCATTCCACGAGCCCAGACCCAAACTCCTGCCAGCAGGACTCCTGGCAGGCTGTAGAACTGTTTCCGTCTGGATTAATTGAAGGTGGACTTTAAAGTCCTGAACAATCATGTTTTTAGGAAACTCCTTTATGGATAAAGCCAAGGATTTTTGTTGCCTATGTTCTTCTTCCTCGCTCTTGAGCAATTTCCAGATGCTTGACTTGATGTTACTGAAATGCAGCTGTTCCTGTTAGAAAAGGATGGTACAGTCCCAAGGAGTGAGACTTAGATTACTGGCTGAAGGATACAAAAACACTAATTCAAAGGGAAATATGCATTCCCATGTTTATTGCAGCACTATTTACAAAAGTCAAACTGTGGAAACTATCTACTTGTCCAAAAGCAGATGAGTGGATCAGGAAGATGAGGTATAGATAAACAATGGAATACTACTCAGCTCTTAAAAAGACAATCTCTTGCCATTTGTGACAAATGGATGGAACTGGAGGGGATTATGCTAAGTGAAATAAATCAGAAGGGGAAAAATAAATACTGGATGGTATCATGTATATATGGAATAAAGAGAAACAAAACAAAAGGTCAGATAAAACTAATAACAAACCTTAGAAACCGGATGGTAGAACTGTGGTTACCAGAGGTGGAGGAGGGTTGAGAAAAGTGGCAAGTGAACACAATGGACTGTGGTGGTGGACTATGGGTGCGTGGGTGGTGGGTGTGGTGTAGTAACAACACCTGAAGGGGGAGATCCTAAACCCCCAAAACAATAACAGCGTTGTAATCCACTGTTACCAGAATAATTATTATTATTTTTTTTAATTAGAAAATCCCACAAAGAGACATTCAATAGCTTTACCTTTCATCTGAATCCCTACCCCAGTAGCAGCTTCTGATCTCAGGATATTTCAGCCAATAATAAAGCATATCCCTTTACCTTAAAAAAAAAAACAAAAAAAACTTCACTTGATCTTCAGTCTCCACTGAGGATAGAACTCTTTGGACAGTTGAAGCAAGACACAAAAAGGGGGAGAGAAAGAGGACCTTCTCAGAAAACCTATAGGCAAAGAAATAATGGCAAACGGAGGCTCTGCAGCTGCACGGTGGAGCATGTTGGATTATCCAGGAAAGTTCCCTGCAGGACAGAGGCTTTTAGCAGATTCTCTGGAAATATTGTGTCCCAGGACCTCATACTGTGCTAAGATATTGGGGAAATGGCTGGGAAGGGACTTTAAAGTCCTCTAGCAGATGCAGAACGAAATCTCCCTGAACTTCCCTTATCTGAATAAAACAGAGCTTTAAACAGTCAGCTCCACAGCTCCCTGCCCCTCATCTCCAGGCAGGGAGGTTCTATCCGTGGACAGATGGACACTCCCACCAAAATTGTGTAAACAAGTCTCATAAGAACTTGCTGTCCTTTGAAACCCTAAATGCTTACCTCTCCCTTAGTAAGCTAAGGTATAAATCTTTATCCCCAGCTAATCGGAGAGTACTCACTACAGAGTGTTCTCATATGCTTATGAATAAACTTGGTTACCTTTCAGAACTAAAACGGTAGATGGAAAGATTTCTCCTAACTGGGCCTCCCCGGTGGCGCAGCGGTTGAGCGCTGGGTTGCGAAGCTGCCCGCAGCTTCTGCAGTGCCAGTTCGATCCCCCGGCTGCTCCCCGGCCACCTGAGGAGGGTCCCACATGGCGCGCAGACCTCTCCTGCCGCCCGCTGCTCCCCTCAGCAGTGTACTTCTGTCCTTCTGCCTGCTCTGCTCCCCGCTCTGGCTCTGGTGGATTCGCTCACCCTCCCGCGCTTCTGACTGTACCCAGTGCTTGTATAAATAAATAAAATAAATAAATAAAAATAAAATAAATCTTTAAAAAAAAAAAAAGATTTCTCCTAACTCAGGAAGCAGTCACTTCACATGCTGATTGGCCCAGACAGGAGGTTCAAAGCAAAGGCGTGGTTTAAACCCAAGCAAACACTGACATTCAGCCATGCTGCAGGGCCCAAAGTGGAACTAGCAGCTGTCTGCAGCTCGTCCAGAAACCTCTCCGTCATTCCTGTCTCTGCTCTTTTCCCTTCAGGTGGCCTTGGGCTATCCTGCCCCTTCTCCTTCCAAGGCCCGGGGTAGGAGGAGAGGGGTGAGGAGGGGGGCAGGGGACCACCATCAACTGGCCACCCAGCAGATGCTTCCCTCAGACCAACTGTCCCTCCTCTGTTCCCCTCCCCCATCCTGGCTCTTTCTTTCCCCAGTGTCCTACCAATTTGCTCTGCCAAGCTCATGCTTTGGTCTCAGGTCCCTCTGGAGTGATATTGTGATGGAAATGAGGGAGAGGATGCAGGAGGGAGCAGCAAAGATTTATGGCTTCCAGAGGGTTTCCATTAAAATCCCTGACAACTGCTTATTTATGAGAGGGTTCACTGCAACGGGAGCTAATAGGCCAGAGTCTGGCACCACTGTCCTTTCAGGAGTGTTGACAGGAACAAACACAGGGTGAACAGTAGAGCTGCCCCCACTGTAGAGCAAAATGGGCTTTGACCCTGTCAGGCATCCCCTCTAGGCCTGGAGAGTGACAGCCAGGAAATCAGAGCTCTTGGTGATTTGTGCCAAGCAAACCAGAAACAGAAAAATCCACATGGCAAACACTAAGGGACCTTCTTAGCCTGGGTGTGAACGGTATGAAGTGTGTTGGAGGGTCTCTCCAGTCATGGAAAAATTTAGATTATATTCATTCTCTGAGCTCCAGCACAGAGGCAAGAGTGTGTGAAAAAATAAATAAATAGGCCAGTCCTTGACTGTTGTTTTCACTGTCCTTTTGTTTCTAAGGCAGCCACCTGACTAAATAAGACATAACAAAACTCTCAGAAGGTTGTTTGCTCTATAGTTAACGTACAAACTCTGTTCCCCAGTTTAGGATTCTTTCTTTAAGTAGCTAATGAAAAAAAGAGAGAATCCTGCTTCTGTTCCTCTGAACCAAAGTCCCTTCTGAAAACCCTGTCTTCCTGTGTCAGTCAAAAGAGAGTCTTAGTCTATGTATCAGGAATGGGGTAGGAAGTGGCAAGGGGCACAGGTGCTTAGATGGGGAAATCTTGCATACCCAGGATTTGCTTATCTGCATCCTGTGAAAGAATGCTGTAGAAATGTGCACAATCACAGAATCAAGGTTCTTAACAAGTCAGAAGAGCTCTTAGATACCCCCTTGTTTTCAGAGGAGGACACTGAGGCCCAGAGAAGTGAGATCACTTGGTCAAACACCTGTCGTGGGTTCATGGAACCCATCACTCCTTGCTCCACACTTTCTTACTACTATAATTGGCCAGATGGCAATCCACATTGCTGCCCAGCACCTCTTTTAAGTTTTCCCACTCTGCCATGTATCTGATGGGGCGAAGCAAGGTTCCTCTGAGCTTGGTCAAAAGCAGTGAAGTTTCCAGACTTCTTCCTCTTCCCTCTACCTTCTGGGGAAAACAGCTTTCCCTGAAAAGGGCAGTTCATGGTTGTTGTTAGGGCATCCTTTTCTCCGTGTGGGTGACTCTTAGAAACAAGGTCCACAGGAAAGTGCCTGTCTGCAGGTGAAATAGCAGGTGTATTTCTCAAGCACTTCCCATGTGTAAAGCAGTTTGCTGGGACCCAAACGAGACACAGAGAAAGACTGATACAAGCATTACACGCACCAAAAGGAATTTCTGCAGTTTACGTTGCCATTTTATTCTTCTTCAGCGTGCTTGGAACATACACTTCCCACTAACACTTATTCTTTGGTGAGTCAAACAATATGTATGTGTGTGAAATGAGCATACGTTATGGAGTCCTCTTACAAATTGGTAATACTTTGTGTGGTAAAAATAATAATATGTAGTCAAATCTAGTCTTCCAAAACTGTTAAATACATCCAGAATCTCTTTTTTAATTGCTTTATGAATAACTTACTCAATGGTTAGAGAATGAATATGGTAGAATCACTTACTGAAAAGTAAGTAGAGGGCCTCCCCGGTGGCGCAGCGGTTGAGCACTGGGTTGCGAAGCTGCCCGCAGCCTCTGCGGCGCCGGTTCGATCCCTGGCTGCTCCCCGGCCACCGGAGGAGGGCCCCACATGGCGCACAGACCTCTGCTGCCGCCCGCTGCTCCCCTCAGCAGTGTACTTCGGTCCTTCTGTCTGCTCTGCTCCCCGCTCTGGCTCTGGTGAATTCTCTCACCCTCCCGCGCTTCTGACTGTACCCAGTGCATGTATAAACAAAACAAACAAACAAACAAATAAATAAATAAAAACATGCCTCTATTAAAAAAAAAAGAAAAGAAAAGTAAGTAGAAGTTTTATAGTAATGTAGAAAGGTTTTTTTTTAATCTAATAGTAGCAAGTGAAAACAGTTTTTTTGTAAAAGCTATAATTATGTGAAACATGTATTTGTATACATAAAAAATGTAAACAAAATGTAAAGAAATTTTTCCCAAAAAAGGTAAAGGCATAACAGATATACAAATGCATGTTAAAGATTTTATTTAACTTGCTCAGTGAGGGAATCTATCATATACTCAGGTGACTCAATTGGTTCAAAAAAGCAACAGCGTGATTTGTCTGAGAAAAAGATTGTTAAAAAGAATTTTTAAATGGAAGCAAAATTCCACCAGGAAGAGGGAAAACCGTAAACCTCTATCAGACCAAATAGAAATTGCCTGTCTTATCAATTAACTACAATTCATAGTTGTAAAATAACCGGTTTTCCATGAATCAATTCAAATCAGAAAACAGGATTCTTGCTGAAAGTAGATTAGGGACTGCTCAGATATCAAAGATGGAGAGTTCTCTCTAAACTGACTTAGCTGAGTTTATTTTTACTCAGGAAGAGCACTCCCTTTACAGAGTTAAGTGATTTCTTTATAGCTGGGAATGATGACAGGCAGAAACTGGGATGGCTGCACCCGTCGGGGAAAGCCATAAAGGATAGTGGGCGGCCCTGGGCCCATTCACCTGAACACTACAAGTCCCAGCCTGCCCCGCGGTGGGGGTGGGGTTTGCTGGCCGTTATGACGTTTGGGCGGGGCCAGTGGGATCAGCGCTCCCAGGGGTTTTTAGCCCCGCCCCTGATCCCTTCCCTGCCCTGTTGCTGCTGCGTTGCCGCTGGCTGCTTCCCCTGGTGAGTCCCTGAAGAGAACGAGGGCAGTTAGGGGCAGCTGGGCGCCCAGGTTCCTCAAATTCAGGCTTCCAGCCCCGAGAAAAGGCGGAGGGAATACAACCGGTTTCGGTTTTCACCTCCTTCCACCTTCCTAGGCTGTCAGTAAATGGGAGTGGCGTCATGGAGCCCCTGGAAAGGCCTCGGAACGCCGGGGGGTGGGGCAGTTTTCTCCCGGGGAGGGCCGGGCTTGTGGCCGGATGGGAGGCTTCTGGGGCCGAAACGACCCCTCTGACTGAGCGAGGATCTTGACGTCATGGCAATTCCCGCGACGCGTCACGATATCAAGTCCGCTCCCGCGCGCCCGAGTTCCGGGTGCTTCCCTAATCCCTGTCTCTGACGTCATGGCGTGTGCTTGGCGCCCGGGCCCTGCCCACTCACCCCGGGCAAGTTTCGTTCTCTTTGGTCCTCAGGTGCCCCGTGTGCGAGTCGGGAGGCCCCTTTCCTTAGCTCGAAGCTGGGCTAGGCCCCAAAGGAGAAAGCCGTGGAGCGTCGTGACCTGCCTCCTAAGTGGACCTCCCGTGGCCGCTCCTCAGCGCCGCGCTCAGCCCAGTTTAGTCTGGGGACTCGTGTTCCCACTCACATTAGGATTTCAGCCCTTCCGGGGCTTTTTTTTTTTTTTTTTCTGTTTCTTGGATTCTTAGCTCCTGACACAGAGCCAGCAAATGGCGGCAGTTGGAGCTGAGGAGGATAATAGAGATGACATATTAAATGTATCTCCATTATCACAAAAATCATTCCAAGTGAAGGACTTTTTAATGCAGTAGGTCTTTGTAGGTTATGTAGGGCAGATGATTAAGGAATAACCAGGTAGCTCACTTTCACAGGTGTTTTCACAGGGCCTCTACCTGAAACCCTACCCTTTAGCAAACAAGACAGCTGCAGAGTGGAAAGGACCCTGAGAAAGGTAGTAAGTGTTAAGTGACACTAACAACTCACATTGTTTTGGGGGTTTTTTGAGTCAGATTGTACATCTAAGGCTCTTGAAAATTTTGACTGTATGTTGATACAATATCATGCATCCTTGTTTTCTTAGATAAAAAAGGCAGGAAAGGGCCTCCCCGGTGGCGCAGCGGTTGAGCACTGGGCTGCCCGCAGCCTCTGCAGCGCTGGTTCGATCCCCAGCTGCTCCCCGGCCACCGGAGGAGGGTCCCACATGGCGCGCAGACCTCTCCTGCCGCCCGCTGCTCCCCTCAGCAGTGTGCTTCGGTCCTTCTGCCTGCTCTGCTTCCCGCTCTGGCTCTGGTGGGTTCTCTCACCCTCCCGCGCTTCTGACTGTACCCAGTACTTGTATACATAAATAAATCTTTAAAAAAAAAAAAGGCAGGAAAAAATGAATACTTTCATTTCTTTTCTTTCACTTAGGATCATCATGACAGCTGGAAAGTTTCTTAGAGGTTTTTCTAACCTGATCCACGCATTTTACTGATGAAGAAACTGAGGCTCAAAAAGGAATTAGTGTAGCTTGGCCACACTAGTTAGTGGCAGAACTAAGACGACCCCAGTTCCCTTGGCTCCATTTCCACTAGACTTCATACAGTGTTGCTGCCCATCTCACTTCAGGGATTAGCATACTATAACCCCTTTCATGGAAAAAGTGGATAATCTTCAGTAAAATAGAGATGTGGTGCACAACTTTGGGATTTTCACACAGTTGGCAGTCTCTGGTTGCATCTCAAGTCTCAGAACTGTTTATCTATTTTCCCCTAGTACTGCTTGCTAGTTGGTGATATGGGTTGAGTAATGAGTGCTGGATTAAAACAAAAGGAGCAGCCAATCCAAACAGTTGTTAATGAGTAGTATTAAAAGCCTCCTGGGGGTATAAAATTTTTTAATCATTCTGAAAGATTATAGGTACAAAACTAGAATGAACAAGGAAAGTTTGGATTAGGGCAAGTAGCTCAATGATTTGATGACAGGTCATTGTGTGTCTTTGCTTTAGCCCCTGTCTTGGAACCATGTACACACCCATGGTACACATTGCCAGTGTTCTCTGAGGACGGTTTGCTTAATCACCTCTTTGAGGACCAGGAAGCAGTGGGACAACAAACCATTTTTGCTAATGACTAATGGTGTGAAAAAGTTAAGAAAGCAAAGGATGAAGGAATTAGATTAAATGTAGGTTTGATTTTTACTTATCTTTACTTTCACTGTGCCCAAGTAAAGAATTGATTAGTATTTCTCTCTTAGCTGATGAAGGATTTGGTTTCCTTCTGTGAACTAATCCAGAGAAACTACTTTGAGTCTTCTTTTCTCTTGAAACGTGCTCACTGGTAGAAAAAGGCCAATGTGAAAATAATGGGCATTCTCTACAGTAGAATTTCAGTTCTTTTTAATACAGTTATTTCTTCTTCATGGTTCAGCATACATGAGGAAAAGTCCTTAGGAAAATTGGTAAGCTGACTTGGTTGAAATTTGCATTGTTAGAATCTGAGCAAGAGAGGTTACAGCATTAAATTTGTTTCTGCTAAACGCGTATCTATGTAGTTTACGGACTCACACAAAAAGCAGAAGTAGGCTGACTATTTGTTTCCTGTTCCTTTTCTTCATGAGAATCTATGCCCTCACACAACAGCCCTGGGAGTAGTATATTAGCCTTGAAAAGCTCATTAGGTGAAAATGTGTCAGATTTTTTAGAAGCCAAGAGCCAGTTCAGGGGACTCATTTTAAAATACATTGCCTATTATCGCCTACCTCCTCTGAGGACTTTAATCCTTTTAGAAACTGAGCTGGGGGAAAAAAAGTAACAACTATATCAGAATCCAAGTAAAATACCACTGACAGTTTATGGAATCTCTGCATTATTCTTGCTTGATAATTTGTTTTTTTAAAAAAAATCCCTATTTGTTTTTTCCAGTCATGCCTTATATGTCCAGTCTTTGATTTGAGGGTAAGGTAAGGAATTAGGTAGAATTCCATTCCATGATTCCTCATTCTCATTCCACTGCGTTTTTATGACTCAGTAGCTTGCTGGGCTTCTAAATTTAACTTTTGTTCTTTCTTTATTTTCTCGTCCTTTCCTCTGTGGATATTGCTAGAATTAGAAGTGGATAGTGGATGGGCTCTATAGTGGGAAGAGTAGGTAAAGGAAGGAGAAGTTGATACTAAAACATTACAGTTTTGCTTCCTCATCCTTCTTGCCCCCTCCACCATCAGTCATTATAGGCTGCTTGGTCAGAAAGGTAATTTCTTAAGTCATTGTTTGGACCCGTTTCTCCCAGGAAGTTTTATCCTTGGGAGAGAAGAAAGGCTTCAAGGCTCACTGACCTTAAAAATCACTAGATACCTTCCTCCAGGAAAAGCTGATTGAGCTACCTCCTCACTGGCCCAGTTTAGATTGACGTGATTATGCTCTAGGTTTGCCCGTGGCCTTTCTGTCCTCAGCTTTGATAAAAAGCAGAAAAGCTACTGCTATTGTCCAGAAAAGCTACTGCTGTTGTCCAGTCTACCTGCCTCTTCAACCCCTTTCCTACTCTGAGTAGAGAATTTTTTATTTTAAGAATGGATGAGTTTTTATGGCACAAAGTGTCAGTGCCTGCCTTCTGAGTCCTTCTGGGAAGGTATGGAGATCTCTGAAATGGGAAACTTCATAGAGTCTCTTGCATTTTTGATAAGCAAAGAATCAAGACTGTTGACTTTTCCAGACAATTGATTAGGAGATAGAGTTTCCATTGGAATCTGTATACCCAAGCCTCAGAACATGAGTTCTTTCATGTCATTTTGAATATATAAGCAGTCCTTTCTTCAGCCTTCTGCTCAGAAGCTAACTTACAGACTCACTGTTCTAGTAAGGAAATGGAGGAAGTACCAAGCCCCTATAACCTTTGGCTAGTCAGAGCAGAATACATTTGCAAAACAGCTTGTCAGAGTTTGAGTGTGTGGAAGGTGAGTAATGGAGTGTGAATTTTATGGGTCCTGGAGGAAATCAAATCTGTGCCTTTTTTTTTTTTTTGGCATTGTGCCACTTGAACCAGCTATGCCAGCTGAACCAGCCTTACCAAGAACTGACACAGTATTTGGAGATGATCATCTCCTCATTCTATTTTAGAAAAGGGAAACCTGAGAAGCAGCAACTTCTTCAAGGGTATCCAACAAATTAAGAGCAGATCTAAAAAAAGAATTTGCCCCACCATCATTCACACCACTGTTTGCTTATAAAATTCCTTCCTTTTGCTTTTTGATGAATTGCATGCCTATATTCATTTATTTATTCAATGAATACTTAATCAGGAGTTACTATGGGTTAAGCAATTTGTTGTATATACAGTGGTGACTGTATTCTGAAGGAAAAGAACAGGGAGTGTGGTACTTTGGTTTATTGAAATATAGGCACTGAAGTCACTCTTACCTGAGTCACTCTTACATGACCCATTTCAAAGAACAGATTAAGTCATACTCAGACAAATGGTGCTCCAGGCTCAAAACAAAGCATATGCTGGCCTCAGTATGACTGGAGACCGCTAGGAAAAATAGGGTTCCAAAAGCTGAGAAACTTCCATGCTCCTGTACCACCCAAGAGATCACACAGGCAACAAGTTTTCCTGGGGAACAAGTCCTGACCTAGACTGAAAGGAGAGTGCCTTCCTTCCTTAGGAAAACTGACCTAGGTTTGAGATTGAGGATGTGGTTAAACTATCTCACGAACCAGAAAGCCAATACATTTCTCAGTTCCTTAGCTCAATCCCAAGAATAGACAGTATAGTACCCCAAAGTCCTAAAAATTGACTTCTGGGAGACATGGGAGTCAGGCCTGCTTGTTTGGCGTTCAGAATGAAACCAGGAAATCAGTAGGGTGGGGCAGGAATGGCAGAGTCACTGTGTTGTTTGGTTATTATACTTTTTTTTTTTTGCACATGTATATTTACAATTATTCAACATGTCCCAACAACTGAATTTGTAAAGTATCGTGTAGTGTTTGCATACATAGCTCCTTTTTCATCTGCTGTATAGAGCTACAATATTTTCATTTCCCAATAAAACCCTGATTTCAGAGTCATGGAGTCTCTCAATGATGGAGTAGGGAGGCACTTAGAAGACAAGGTATGTGACTTCAAATGGCAGGAAGTATCAACAATTATTCAAGAGACTTTGTTGTTATTGTTTTTTATTGCTTTTACCACCGTAATAATTTCCCGCTTTACTGTGACTTGGAAAAGAGAAACACAGGCTGCGATCCCCACCTTATAGATAAAGATCCAGACTTGCTTGCTTTCCTCCAAACATAAACTGCATTTTTCTTTTTTTGCTTTTATGCATGCTCTTTCCATTCACCTGCAGTTTCCTCACCCCCAAACCTATTTGTCAAAATCCTAGTATTTCTTTCAGTCTTAGCTAGAATTCTACTTGCTCCCTGGAGCTTCATTTGCTGCCTAATCAGTCTCCCTCTTTCGACCCAATAATATTTTGAACTCTTATGCCAGCGATCCCAGTCACTTGTATACTTATTTAACTCCATTTTTGATTGGGACCCTTTTGAGGGAAAAAACTGTGCCAGAAAAAAAAAAAAAAAAAAGAACAGTAGTGAGTTAAACACTTTCTTTGAACAGACTGTGTGTTAAGTACTTTATTCTGTCTTCAATTGTCTGCTTTGTGTGAACTGCCTACTCCATGGCAAGCACTGATGTAAGGACAGAACACTTCACGTTATTGCAATTAATGCTCACAAAAAAATAAATGAAGTAGATGTTATGAGCCCCATTTCACAGATGAGGAAACAGGCACAGAGCCCAGCTGATTAAGTAAATTGCCCAGGGTTACGCATTTAATCGTTGATGAAGCTGGAATTTAACTATTTTTCTGATTTCAGAATCCATGCTTGTCCTCATAGCATGTCAAATAATCTCGCATCCTTTTCTTCTCTCCTCATCCCCATCTCCTAGCAGAGAACCTTAATCTGTGGAAGGAGCTGGTAATTATAGGATTAATGGAATTGAATGGAGACGCTAAAATCTAGAGAATTTGACATTCTGAAAGTCACAGGGCTTATGAAAATGAAAAATCTAGACTTTAGGACTTACAGTTCCCAGCTCAAGTCATTCCCCTCTTGGCATTATGCCTTATTTAAGGCATATAGAAGAAGGAAACAAACTAGCTATGAGGAGAGAATAAGGGTACAGAGAGATGTAGTGACTCTAGTGAAGAATCTGTCAAAGATTTGACTCTTGGAAAGTTCTTATAGCAGAGGAAGTTATGAATGCAAAATGACTCAAAGTGAAACAGAAAGCAAGTTGTGTAACTTTTGCTTTTCCTGACTTGCCTCAAACAATGTTCTGTGGGAAAGAGCCCAGAAATCTCCAGCATTTCAGTCTTTTCTGATCCTTATTCTATCCCCTATCTCTTAACAGAACCCTGCCATGGAAGATACATTAGAAGATCCTCCCACATCAGCTGTCATGTTGGATCATTGTAATTTCTCCCAGGTCGTCTTTAACAGTGTGGAGAAGTTCTATGTCCCGGGAGGGGACATCACATGCTATTACACCCTCACCCAGAATTTCATTCCCCGACAAAAGGACTGGATTGGCATCTTTAGAGTAAGTAGTTAATTTAGTACCAAGTGACTGGGAACTAGAGGTAAATCTTAGTTATATGAGTGCATGACAGTCTGTGTATTATAAGCATTTTGCTTGTTATGTTCAGCCAATTTTAAAATCCTAGACTGAGTTCCCTAGAACTTTCCCCTTCTCATTACCAGCATATGCTGTGGGACTCAAATTTTAATTTCAATCTCAAGCTAAAGTAAGATGATAAATCATACAATCCCCAAATTTGATTATATTTTCAAAGACCAAAGGTAAATTTTTTAATGACCTATTTTGAAATATTCATCTATGATGTAATTGAGAAGGGTGACTTTAACATAGTATCTGTGTCTTTTAAATATTTCTTTTTTACTTAATACAGTGTTAATTTATTTTATGAGTAGTAGAAATTTGAAAAGACTATTGAGAAGTTAACCTGGTTTAACATACTACATCCAAAAAATTCTGTAGTAAGTGTGCTTCATTTCTTTGTGAAGATTTCCAAGGACAGAAAGTTTATGAGCCCCCTCAGTGACTTCAGCCAGTATTCACTCAAGTCAGTTCAAGTGCAGAACTCGTGCTTTTTTTCCTTATAGTTAATTTACTGTCTACCTCTTTCCTCCCCCAATCTGTGTCTCTGTCTCTCACATCTCTCTCTCTCTCACATATACACACACACACACACACACACACGCACACACACACATCTTCCCATTTCCAGAGACAGATGATAAAGGTCATATTTAAATAATTTACACTGCTGAGTCCCAACGTCAGTGACCTTTGTTTTGACACTTCATTATGTGCTTGTTTGCCAGTGCTGTTCACTATGAAATCAGACATCATTCTTGACTATACTGTGAAGGAGCAGGCTCTTTTTCACATCCCTCATTGAATTACTTTTCCTTAATTGTTTGGAATACCAAACTAATTGATGGAGCATGGAAGATGAGGTAACAAAGCTGGTATTTAGAGGTAGGGAGAGCAGACAACCTAAGGGCCACTGACAGGTGTCATGACAGCTCCTGAGACTGCAGGATATTGAACCTTTAGACTGAAAGATGTTCTGATATAGAAAGCTACACACCAGTTTTCTATTTCAGAAAGAAGATGGTAGTTGGGCCTCCCCGGTGGCGCAGCAGTTGAGCGCTGAGTTGCGAAGCTGCCTGCAGCCTCTGCTGCGCTGGTTCGATCCCTGGCTGCTCCCCAGCCACCGGAGGAGGGTCCCACATGGCACGCAGACCTCTCCTGCCGCCCACTGCTCCCCTCAGCAGTGTACTTCGGTCCTTCTGCCTGCTCTGCTCCCCGCTCTGGCTCTGGTGAATTCTCTCACCCTCCCGCGCTTCTGACTGTACCCAGTGCATGTATAAACAAAACAAACAAACAAAATTAAAAAAAAAAAAATGCCTCTATTAAAAAAAAAATTAAAAAAAAAAAGAAAGAAAGAAGATGGTAGTTGGTTTTATCTTTCCCATATGTAGCAAAGCATACCGATCAAAATTGTACAGTAGAACTTTCTATGGTGGAGCCAGCCCTTCACTGTCTAGTACTGTAACCTCTAGCCACATGTAGCTGTCAAGCGTTTAAAGTGTGGCTGGTGTGACTAACTGAATTTTAGCTTTTATTTAGACTTAGTTCTTTAGTGGCATGTGGCTAGTAGCTATAATATTGGGCCTCAGGTATAGATAATAAAAAAAAGTGATTCAAAATTTAGATTTTAAATGTAATCTATAACTTTTCACTTTTTTAGTAACATATATAACTTATACTTCTGTTGTATTTAGACTGATTATATTTCCCAAGCATTTAGCAACTTCCAATGAGGACTTCACCATAAACCAAATGAAAACATTATGCTTTCTACAAACCACTGTTTAAAAACACTTTTTAAAAAGATGCATCTTGGGGCCTCCCTGGTGGCACAAGGGGTTAAGCACCGCACTATGAAGCAATCTGCAGCCTCTACAGCATGAATTCGATCCCTGGCTGGCCAGAGAGAAACCCACATGATGAAGTAGACCTCTCCTGTCTCGCCCGCTGCTCCCCTCAGCAGTGTATTTCAGTCAGTCTACCTGTTCTGTTCCCTACTCTGTCTCTGGTGGATCCTCTTACCCCCCGCATCTCTGGCCTCTATCCCAGCTCTTGTATGCATAAATAAATAAATCTTTAAAAAAAGAAAGTAAAAAGATGCATCTATACTTGGAGTGTTTCAGGCATTTCAGAGGTATTGCCACACCTCAGTAAAGAAACCTGGTTGATACAGAGAATGGCCTGCCTCTGTGTTCATTGTCCATCAGCTATTGATTTGGAAGACATGCCGAAGCCTGAACATTTCAAGGCTGCTAAAGAACAGGCTTTTTTTTCAAAGATTTATTTTTATTTATTTATGCACACAAGAACAGGGATGTAGGCCAGAGGTGCCAGGAGTCGGGGGTGTGAGCGGATTCACCAGAGACAGAGTGGGGGGCAGAACAGGTGGATCTTTTGAAATACACTGCTGAGGGGAGCAGCAGGCGAGACGGGAGGGGTCTGCTGCACCATGTGGGTCAACTCACTGGCCAGGGATCGAACTCATACTGCAGTGGCTGGCGATAGTTTGATAGCGCTGTGACTTTAACCCCTGCATCACCAGGGAGGCCCCATAAAGAACAGACTTTTTGAGATCATACAATATGTTAGGTGTTTGGTGAGGTTTTGTATTTGATTTTCCGATTTAATTCTCACAGCATAGAAGCCTCCTAAGGTAAGTAGTAGTTTCACTTGTGAACAGGTGAATAAAGTGACTATACTCAAGATGATGACTTTCCCAAGATCTCTCAGTAAGTAAATGGTGAAGCAAGTTTGTTTGACTCACAAACGTGCTTTCCCCCCTCTATTGTGGTACATTCCCTTGAACAGCAGATGCTAAATTGGAAAATTAAGAGCTTACTGTAAAGGTTTGTCCTTTATATCCCACTTCTAAAGACCTCCCAGTGTTCTTTCAGTGTATCCTTAACATATTTTTCAACTCCTTATCGACCCCAACACCAGTAGTTCCAGAAACCAAGTAGGCACTCCTGAAATGTTTTTGATGTGCAATATGCTACATCTCTATATGGCAAAAGCTACCACCAATAATAAAGCCTATAGTGGGTAGGAGTCAGCTTTCCTTTCTTTAGTGTATAGTATCCTATTCCTTTACCTGGGTGTTTAAGTGTCCCAAGGTTTTAAAGAGGGGAAATAATGCCACAAGAGGCATGAGATTAGAGGATCTGAGTACTAAAATTGCAGGTGGTGAGAGGTTCTTTCCTTGTTCCAAGGCAGCAGTAATTTTAGGCCTTCCCAGATGATATTTTGGTCACAATACATTAAGAAACTCCGGGATGTGAATGAAAACTCCATAAAATTCCTGCTTCCTGTACCACCGCAGGCTGCACCGGCTCTGAGATGCTTACAGCAATGGGGTGTGTATTAATGAGACACTAAAACATGCCCTAGTAGGTTCTGATGAGCTTTCAGCATAGCCTTTTCAACCCTGCTTCTGATTCCTTAATATATAAAAATGGAATTTATTTTTAGTCCTTCCTCTTCCCACTGGGCTCAGGCAGGGTCAGAATATGGCAATAAACGTAATTTTGCTTCTCATTTGCTGAGTGTTCTCTCCTTGAAGACACAATGGTTTCCTTTCTATTCTCTGGTGTGCTCTTATCTTCCAGACACAATTTGAGCCATCTTTTACTCTGTTCACATTAAATAAGAATGTTTTCCACTTAGCCAGCTTTCTGTGCAAGGCATATTTTATAGTGTCCTTATACCTTATGACTTACTGCATTCAATACCTAGAAGAGGCCTTTATGACTACCAGATTGTTGTTATTATCTTTATCACCCAAAAGCCTTCATTAAGCATACATTGAGGAAAACACTGAAGAAAGAAAACTATATAGGCTTGGATTCAATTATCTGGTGCCTCATAATCTAATACCCCTCTGACCTCTCCGCCCCAACACACACATCCTCAAAAAGTGTGTTTTTGAAAATGCAATAGTATAACTTGTATAGGCAACAAGACTGAATTGGACACTGAGGAGGATAAACTAATGGATGTAGATAGAAGTGCTTTCTGATTAAGAAGTTCCAAAAACATCATTAAAGAAGAAAGTAGGAACGAGATTAACAATCCCAGAACTTTTGTCCCCAGTTGTTCTCAATTCTGTGACTGACTTGATATAATTTTAGGAGCTCTTGTCCTGGGTGTTGGTGGCCTGTTTTCATTTCCTTTTAAGACGGGTGTTTAAGACTCTGTGTGTATATATGTGCACACATGCACATTCCAGTTTTTAGTTGTATCAGACATTTTACCATATATAGTTGTCTTAAGTCAAAAAAACAAGAATCCCTGGTGAGCAAAACTTACCATAATTAGCTCACTTAATTGTATTTTCACCTTAATTGTAATTCAACTGTATTTCAAGTAAGTGCATTATAAGAAGAAATCTCTCAAATAAGAATTTTTCCCTGAATGCTTTTAGATGCTGAATGAGAATTTCTCTTGTCATTGTAGGTGGGATGGAAGACAACCCGGGAGTACTACACCTTCATGTGGGTTACTATGCCCACTGACCTAAACAGTGAATCAGTCAAACAGCAGGAAGTCCAATTCAAAGGTGAGAAAAATTCTGGGTCAAGGATGTTGAAGACAGCAACCAAACTAATTCCCTTGAACTTAAACTTTCTATGGCAGGTAAAAGAGTTAGATTTTTTATTTTCGTAATAGACCTTATTTTTTATTAAAAATTGTGATTGTGTTTTTAGCTTATTACCTGCCAAAGGATGATGAGTATTACCAGTTCTGTTATGTGGATCAGGATGGTGTGGTCTGGGGAGCAAGTATCCCTTTCCAGTTCCGTCCAGAAAATGAGGAGGACATCCTGGTTGTTACCACCCAGGTCTGTAAACATCTCACCTCAATCACTTTTGACCATTCAGAGTAGCAATTCCAAGATAGATGGAATTTGAGTCAGTAGCATTTATTGAATGCCTGATTTATGCAGTACCCACCAGACCCATCCATAAATGACAGAGTAATGTTAACAGAATCATAACAATAAGTGATTTCGCCCTCTTCTAAAACTTTTGTAACTCAGTTAGCATTTGGTTATTCCCTTAGTTTTTCCAGTTATTTAATTTTTGTCATCTGCACATCTCACCGCCACAGTAAGCTTGTAAGCTAAAAGCTTACAAAGGACAGTTTGTAAGCTCTCCTTTGAGAAGAAAAGTACCAAATATTTTTCTTTGTATCTCTCACTTCTGACCCGGAGCCTGACATACATGAGTATTAGCTTCATTTACTTACTCTGTCATTTTAACAGGACACCTGCTTTCCACTGAGCACTGTCGTAGGCACTAAGGCTGCAGTGAAGAGTCAATCCAAGTGCTGTCCCTGTCCTCAAGGAACTAAGCCCAGTGAGAGACAAACATTCTAAGTGTTTGTGAGAGCAATCTATGTTCTTTGGTCATTCCACCTTTTAACTTTTTATGAACTTAATTTTCTTCATCTTTCTTGGTAATGGCAGGCTCTATGCTACAATTTTACATACTTCTATTACCCCCTTGTCTACATACTGAGGAATTGTTCCCAATTGAGGTATACAGATGTCACTATAATGAGTGTGAATCAGCCAGGCCCTCACCATCCCAGCCTATGAGAATTTTCTGCTAGAGGGATTTTTGAACAGCCATTGAGATATAAAGAGTCCAATAAGAGTTTATGGAATACTCTTTTGTAGGGAGAGGTAGAAGAGATTGAACAACACAACAAGGACCTTTGCAAAGAAAACCAGGAGCTGAAGGACAACTGTGTCAGCCTCCAGAAGCAGAACGCAGACATGCAGGCTGAGCTCCAAAAGAAGCAGGTATGGCTGCTGGTTAAAGGTGAGCTTGGGGTATGAAGATAAAGCTGTAGTGCCCTCAGTGCGGCACCATTTTCTGTTTTGCTTATGATCTCCACTCCCTTATACTAATATCTTTGATAGTTTCATATGGATTATTTACAAATTTTATGGCAAACCTTTGCAATGAGTACTTTTATTATCTCAATTTGATATGAGTAACCTGAGACTTGGTGGAGTTAAATAAGCTTATATCAACCACCTTGTTCTAAAGGTGAAAAAAGGAGAAAACAGGTACAGAGGAAAAGGGAAGGGTTTTACATAGTGACCACACTGAGTGAACACCCACTTCTTTTCATTCTCAAACAGTATTCAGTTCTTCACACATTACTGTCACATAAGTGTCTGTGATAGCTTCAGTGCTGGGCTGGTACTGTGTGGATGACATTCCAAACAGCAGACCTGGCCCATCCCAGGCAGGGAGGTAACAAATGAAGGTGGTGGCATAGGTGTAACTCACAATCTGGCTGTCAAGAACCAACTTCAGACCAGGAGCTCCACATCCCACCTAATCAGTTCTGACCAAGTCTGGGTTTTGGATTAATTCTTCTACTTACTGCCAATTAATATAATGATTACAAAAATTAAATTCTTTCAGCATCTACTGTGCCAGGCAATGTAATTGAACATATCACTTGATTCCTGCAGCTGCTCCACAGTTCAGAGAGCTTGTGACTGCTCAACATCACAGTTCTTGACTTTGGAGTGAGCTGAGATTTGAACTCAGCTCATTTTTTTTTATGTTAAAACCCATGATTTTTAGAGGCAGGATCACACAGTGGCTAGATACCTTATCTTTGAAATCACACAGACTAGTTCTCCTTATTTGATGAACCAGGAAAAACTTATTAGCATCTCTGTGAAAGAAGGATTGACGATACCTGTTTTCTCAGAGAGATATTTGTACATCCACGTGCAGAATAACGGTTTTCACATTGGCCAAAGTGAGAGGCAACCCAGGTATCTAGTGACGGATGGGTGGATAGACACGATGTGGTGCGTACATACTGTGGAGGATTGCCCAGCTTGAAAGAGGAAGTTGACACATGCTGTGACATAGAGGAACCTGGAGGATGAAATGGATCAGACAGAGACACAAATGCTGTATGATTATCCTTTGATGAGGAACCTAAAGTAGTTAATTTCACAGAGACAAAAAGTAGAATGGCAGTTGCCAGGACTGAGGAGAAGGGAGAATAGTGAGTTCATGTTTAATAGGTATCAGCTTCAGTTTTGCAAGATGAAGAGAGTTCTGTGGGCAGATGTCATTTTGGTTATAGACCATGTAAATGTACTTGATGCCTCTAAGGTGCACTAAAAATGGTAAATTTTATGCTACATATATAATTTTTTTTAAAGATTTATTTATTTATATAAGAACTGGGGTACAGGCCAGAGGTGCGGGGGGGTGAGAGGATTCACCAGAGACAGAGTGGGGAACAGAACAGGCAGATTGACTGAAATTTACTGCTGAGGGGAGCAGTGGGCAAGACAGGAGAGGTTTGCTGTGCCATGTGGGTAGCAACCTGGCTGGGGATTGAACTCATGCTGCAGTGACTGCAGACAGCTTCATAGGTTGTGTCTTAACCCCTGCACCACCAGGGAGGCCCCATATCTAAATTTAAAAAAAAAATGATTTAAAAAATTTTAATAAACTAAAAATTGGAAAATCTTGGCGTTAAAAGCAGGGAGTTGTTATTGACACATAAGGTTGACTTCTCCATAGAATGAAATTAGGAAAGGAAAAAAAATTGTCTTGGGCCAGTATGGTGGCCACTAGCCACATCTGGATACTAAGCATTAAAATGTGGAGTATTGAGATATGCTATAAGCATAAAATATATACCAGATTTCGAAGACTTAGTATGAAAAAAATGTAAAATATTTTCTTTTTATTTACATGTCAAAATGATATATTAGAACAAATATACTATTAGTAAAATTACTTCTTCTAATGTGGCTATTAAAATATTTTAATTAAGTGACTTTTGGTAATTTATTAGATAGCACTTTTCTAGGAGAAAAACAACTTTGTCTACTGCTGTGTTTCTAGGACTAGAATAGTGTCTGGTATGTAACAAACACTCACTAAATATTTGATTAATAAATTGAAGGACAAGGGCCTCCCCGGTGGCGCAGTGGTTGAGCGCTGGGTTGCGAAGCTGCCAGCAGCTTATGTGGCGCCGGTTCGATCCCCGGCTGCTCTCCGGCCACCAGAGGAGGGTCCCACATGGTGCACAGACCTCTCCTGCCGCCCGCTGCTCCCCTCAGCAGTGTACTTCGGTCCTTCTGCCTGCTCTGCTCCCCACTCTGGCTCTGGTGAATTCTCTCACCCTCCCATGCTTCTGACTGTACCCAGTGCTTGTGTAAATAAATAAATAAATCTTTAAAAAAAAAATTGAAGGACAAATATAAGTACCAATGGAAAGTAAATTAAGATACATATATTTTTAATATGGAAAGAACATTTTAATATGAAAATCTCTTTACTCAGGAGTTTCATTCACTGTCTGTCTTGTTATGCCTGACAGTGCTCAATAAATATTTGTAGGCCGTCTTAGATATTAAAAACTGTTTTAGCTATAGTCTGTTCCTTTAACCTTTCAATCTACAGGAGGAGCTAGAAACCTTAAAGGGCATCAATAAGAAGTTGGAAGAGAAAGTTAAAGAGCAGAAGGATTCTTGGGAGACAGAGCTGCTTCAGTAAGTGTGATTCCTGGATGGGAGCAATCACTGGGTTATAGACATCCTTATGTAGGTTCACATTAAACTTCTGGAATTAGTTAGAAAACATTCTTCCTGCTATGGCAGTGATAGGTGGGATTATCCCATTTTGACTCATAAACACTTTGATTCTAGATTAGAATATTTGTGTCAGAATGGTAAGAAGAAATTACCTGAATTTATATTATTAACTATTGAATATTTTCAGCTTGAGATCAGGAAGCCAAATGAGGAATAAAGGCTAGTAGATTTTAAAATAGTTCTGCAGATATAGGACAAAACTAGTCTTAAGTTATTTAAGGCTTAGGGGAGGTGATCTGGAATCAGCCTTTGTTTCGCCTCCATAGACTGAAAGAACAAAACCAGAAGATGTCCTCCGAAAATGAGAAGATGGGAGTCAGAGTGGATCAGCTTCAGGTAGGTAATGCCAAACCTCTGCAAAGTTTTCTTTCTCAGCCTGGCCCAGAAAGATGCACTTCATTAGAGTGAGTGCCTCATGGTGTACATTTCAAAGCATCAGGCAAAATTTCAGGCTGTGTTTTCCATTCTTGACCCTCCACAATACACCCCCCCTTTTTTTTAATAGTCATGGTCTACTTGGAATTGATTAATTTGTTTATATTTGTCAATTTATATTTGCCATGAGCTCTTAAAATAGATGACTGTCATCTACATCAGTGGTTTTCAGACTTTTTTCTTTCAGCTACGACAGCTTATCAGGCAAAATCTTACTGGAATGTAAAGCAGATAGTAGCAGAACTGCTTTCTTTTTCGGAAGCTATGCTTTAAAGAATGGTTGTCAAATTTTACTCACTTGACTCCTGGATGACTGAGGTATAAAGTAGAACTGGAAGGTGAAGACATTCTAAGGGATATTTGGCAATTGGAAGCACACTTTTTTTAGGTGCTAGGAAACACATCTCTTTTAGGTGCTAGGAAACACTTTGAAAAAGTGTTGTACTTGTTTAGTTTTCCTTCCTTTATGTCTTGGTAATATTCATTCATTTTGTATTAGGTCAAGCTGTCAACGCAAGAGAAAGAAATGGAGAAGCTTCTTCAGGGAGATCAAGATAGGACAGAGCAGTTGAAGCAGCTGAAAAAGGAAAATGACCGGCTCTTTCTCAGTTTAGCTGAACAGGTTAGGGTCGTGGATGAAAATGACATGTTGAGGCATTTGTGGGAAAATATATACATCATTCTTTTTTTCTCTATCACATATGGAAATCAACTGAAATGAGGTATCTCATGATTTTTATCAGAAACTGATAAGACTTGCTTCTCTTTCCACCTCCAACTTGCTCATTAGTTCAGCAGGCCCTTGTGTGTGTGTTTGTGTGTTTTCCTATTGTTACAGAGCAGCCCCGATATAAAACGGGTTGCCTGGCTGTGGGTCCTCACCCACACGCTTAAAAGGGAGTTATTAATACTCCACTGCATGCACACACAAAAGGTTAATAAAAGGTTTATTTACAAGGGAAGGGGAAATGAGGAAATGTACAACTCAGGGAGAAAATAGGGAAATAAAATCTTAAATGCGTCCTACCCGATCCGCTGACCTGGAAACCCAGTGGCACTCTGAGAGGTGGCCGAGAGCCGCTAGCTGGCGAAGAGCCAAAAGGGCGCCCCTCCAAGGCCCACGTGTCTGGTTTTTATACCAAACCTGGCTGCTTAACTCCACCCTCAGGTTCCAGCAACCTTCCCTTTGGTGGTGGTGGGATTTGTCTTTCCCAGTGTCCTGATGGCTTTGGTCTGGAATGGGGGTGGAGTGCACAAAGCCTGTATGGAGTTTGCTCAGAACATCTTTCCCTCTAACACTATCACTGGTATTGAAATCTGTTTTTGTGCAGAAAGAGCACCAGAAGAAGCTGGAGCAGACGGTGGAGGAGATGAATCTGAAAGAAACTACAGCAATGAAGAAGCATCAGGAGTTAACGGCATGTCTGTCTTTAGATGGCTATGTGGGAGGAAGCCTAAAGAAAGAAGGGATAGGTCTATTTTCAGATTATGGAAAAGATAAATAAGACAGGTTAGAATAGCATTTTCCCCTAGATGTTTTGCTCTCTACCCAAAAGGACAGAGATTCTGCCATTTATAAAGTGTTTAAGAGAAAGGTGTACGGGCCTCCCCTGGTGGCGCAGTGGTTGAGCACTGAGCTGCAAAGCTGCCCGTAGCCTCTGCAGCGCCAGTTCCATCCCTGGCCACTGGCGAGGGTCCCACATGGCGCGCAGACCTCTCTTGCTGCACCCACTGCTCCCCTCAGCAGTGTGTTTCATCAGTCTGCCTCTTCTGTTCCCTGCTCTGGTGAATTCTCTCACCCTCCCACACTTCTGACTGTACCCAGTGCTTGTATAAATAAATAAATAAATATTTGAAAGAGAGAGAGAGAAAGAGAGAGAAAGGCGTACATTTCTAATGTGTGATAAGTGGTAAGGGAATAGCAAAGGTTAAACTTCATGATAGGTTGTAGTAAATAGTCTGTGCTAGGACTCACAGTATAATGCCTATTCCCTTTTCACAGAGTGGGGCCAAATTAATAGTTATTAAGTTGAGATCTACAATAGGAAGATATTCCAGAAGTCAAAACAAATTTTGTTATAATGTAATGGTAGCAATTTTACCATTCTAAATTATTCTGAATTAGAATAATACAGAAATGGAAGCCTGATTGACTGAGAATTTTCTGTAATATATTGGAAAAGAGCCCTTAGGGTGATCAGGTGCCAAGAAGTCCCATTTTCTGAATTGATGTAAGGACATGAGAAATCTGAATGTCTGGAAGATATCCAGCAAATAAGGTAGTAATGCATATAAACATCCATTCATTCATTCAATTATTGAGTACCTACCACATATAATATATTGTATATTTCAGTATGGACAATAATGAATAGAACAAAGTAAAAATCAGTAGCGCATGGGTTAAGTTTAGCCCACAAAAAAAGTTTTATTTGGCCTAGATGTGTTTTTAAAATAATTGAGTTAGTTACCAACACTTAAAAATGGAACTATTTACCATAAAAATGATTGTATTTCTAACTTTTCTTGAAAAATCAGAGGCACTGGCAACTTGGAGCCCACATGACCACACAGCAGCAACGCCTGGAGCTGGGCGGCTGCTGCACCCCTCAGCTGGGATGCGTGAGCTCCATTTGACTGTAGTCTTCACTTTTTGTTGCTTTTAGCTTCTTCACTCAGTTACATTACTTGCTTGGTCACTAGCGACACATTTAAGTTTGTGACCTCTGATGTAGCAAAGAAACTACTGTTTTAAATAACGTACGGCCATTCAAAGGTTTGAGCTTCTGGTGGCAGGTACAGGATTCTTTGGTTTTCGTGGAATGTTTTTCAACACCCAGTGCCCCCCAAATGTCTGATAGCAATTCTTCCTCATGCATCCAAAGAATCCTAACTATGAGGACTATGTATCTTATACTTTAGGGGCCTAAGAACAAGAAAACAGCAGTGGAGGCGCAGTTAGTACAAGAGGTGGAACGCCTAAAGGCAAAAGTAGAGGCCGGGAAAGCATGTTTCTTAGAGAAGTACAAAGAGTGTCAACGACTCCACAAACAGATCAGGCAACTCAGGGCCGCTGCACTGGTAGGTGACAGAGATCAGGGGCCCAGGAAGCAAGGGGTGTGAAGTATATATACCCTTGTTAAGGAGAAAAAATTATCTTACTGCTAAAAAAGAGGAAGGGTGGAGTTTGAGGCCAGAAACCATCCTGGGAATCCCTGGAAAAACAGGCCCCACTTCATCCACGGGTTTCAGGGAAGGTTTTTGTAACCATCGATCAGGTCTCTGTGCAGACTCAGTCCTTTCTTATTTCTGCCTTTTGAGGAAGTGAAACAGGACCAGAGGAGCCAGCAGGAACCAATGGGGATGGGGAGCCAAGAGCCTGCAGTCAGCACTGTCATCGGGTAGCCCCCCTCGCATTACTACCTCAGGGTCGGCTAGAAGCACACAGCAGCTTGGGGACCAGCATTCAAATAAAAAATCTTGTAAAAAAAAAAAATACAACTAGTAGGATTAGCTTCAGTGTCTTTGTGAGGTTTGCGCATATCTACATATGTAGGTAGGAGATGGGAAGCACTGAAGCATGCCTAGGAGTTCTGGGTCATGAAACTACTGAGGTCAACCCGCCATCCTGGGAATCCCCACGCCCCAGTCTGGATTCCTTGTAACCTTGGGTAAATGCTTCCCAGGGTTCCTTCTTTCTCCAGATGCCTGTCCTTAAACTGTGAGGGAGTCAGATCATCCTAACCCTAAGCACTTCAGGCTGCATTGAGTGAAATGTTTATTCTTGACAAAGAAGATTATTTTCATGGTTGGGTGGGATTAAACAAGGCTCTGTTTATCCCTAACACTGATAAATCAGTCTTGATGTTTTCTATAAGCTTATTTCCTCTTCCTTTGTCATGTATACTCTCAGCTAAAGCAAAAGAAACTGGCATCTTCATGCCAGCTCAGGCCTTCTGGCATTTTGTTAAGTCATTCTTCTATAAACCGGCATCCCCTCTGTAGACCACTCCTCCTAACCCCAGTTCCCTCCTCCCTCACCTCAGTCCCATTTCTTTGAAAAGCCAGGTCCTCTATAGTCTCCTTGTTTTACCCCATCTGGATCCAGTTACAATATGTGATCCCCTACTAATTTTCTTTTATTTTACTATTGACAGGACCAGAACTTTGACCTGTCAAAAAGACTGAGTGAGAACAAGATTATATGTAATGTTCTACAGAGTGAGAAAGAGAGGCTGGAAAGAGAAAATGATGTAAGTATATAAAAGAGAGTATAAAAACCCACCATTTTAAAGGAATACAGCCGGGTGACCCAGAAGTATTGTGATAAATTAAAAAGTTAAAAAAAGGGCCCTTTCAGGACAGTTGGTAGGACCGTTACTCCCAAAATAAAGAATAACCTTTATCTGGTTTCCTCATCTGCCACAAAATGCTTTCTCTGTTCTTTAACTGAAACTTGTTTGGCATGGTAGTAGTCAACTTGAACAGAACAGCCTTGATGAAGATTAACTAATTGTTTTTGCTTTTAACTTCACAGCTATTGTAAGTATTGTCATGGGGAGTAAGATTCTACGTCACTTTTATGCTGAGGGGCACCTCTTTCCTTCAGCACAACTTTTCCCTTTTTCTCTGCTGCCAAACCAGGAACAGAAGTGGTGGTCAGTACCATGGTAGGCCCCTAACAAATGCTGTATGTCCATTCATTCATCAGTTCATTCTCATCCAACCAGTATTTTTCTGCTGTGTGTTAAGCACAAGTTATTGATTAGTTGATTGATTGAGGATGATAGCGGCAAATAAAGTGATTGTATTTGAAATCACTCTCATGCTCTTGTCTAGCATCAAAGAGTGATATCTATGCATTCCGCTATTCCTTCAGGCCTACTCCAGCAGTTTTCCATCTCTTCCCTCTCTATAACCCTCTGGACTATGCCTCCAGGTGGTCATTTCTACTTTTGATTATATTGCTTATGCCAGTGTGTTCCACTATTTCTGGCTCTGTCACTCTCATCCTCTGGCTTTAGATAAGTATATCTTGACTCTGAAATCCCTGTTTTCTTGATTTAGTCTGAGAGGGCAGGGAGAGGGGGAATGGACACAATCTTCAGTAAGAGGTAAAAGATCTGATATTTGGAAACTGTCTTACTACTATAATAGAGCACTCTATTATAACACCAGGCCTCCCCTGGTGGTGCAGGCGGTTGAGCGCTGCACTGTGAAGCTGTCCACAGCCTCTGCAGTGCCGGTTCAATCGCATAGCAAACCTCTCCTGTCGTGCCCACTGCTCCCCTCAGCAGTATATTTCATCAGTCTGCCTGTTCTGTTTCCCGCTCTGGCTCTGGTGAATCCTCTCACCTTCCTAGCATCTGGCCTGTACCCTGGTTCTTGTATGCATAAATAAATAAACCTTTAAAAAAAAAGATTGTTTTAATCTTTTTTAAAGATTTATTTATTTATGCATACAAGAACTGGGGTACAGGCCAGAGGTGTGGGGGAGGTGAGAGGATTCACAAGAGAGAGTGGGGAGCAGAACAGGCAGATTGACTGAAATACACTGCTGAGGGGAGCAGCAGGTAAGGCAGGAGAGGTCTGCTGCACCATGTGTGTCACCTCCCTGGCCAGGGATGGAACTCATGCTGCAGTAGCTGTGTATTGCTTCATAGTGCTGCACCACCAGGGAGGCCCCCTCTTAAGATGTTTAGGAGAATTTACTTTCTTTTTTCTATGAACTTTATTTTTTTTTTTTTTTTTTTTTTTAATTATTTTTTTTTTTTTTTTTAAGATTTTTTTTTTTTATTTATTTATTTATACAAGCACTGGGTACAGTCAGAAGTGCGGGAGGGTGAGAGAACTCACCAGAGCCAGAGCGAGGAGCAGAGCAGGCAGAAGGACAGAAGTACACTGCTGAGGGGAGCAGCGGGCGGCAGGAGAGGCCGGCGCGCCATGTGGGACCCTCCTTTGGTGGCAGGGGAGCAGCCGGGGATCGAACCGGTGCTGCAGAGGCTGCGGGCAGCTTCGCAACCCAGCGCTCAACCGCTGCGCCACCGGGGAGGCCCTCTATGAACTTTAAATGCTGTCTGTCCCCTTGTAGCTTCTTCTCTCATTCTTTATTTTCTCCTTCTCTGTCTTCCTTACTCCCTCTCACTCTCTGTGTTGGCATATTTATTTGATGATATTTTGGAGAAAGGAAAATTATATCAGAGGTATAGTCTCATTGTGTAAGAATAGTTCTAGGAAGGAGACTGAAAGAAGTAGTCTGCTCTCAACAATGGACATCAGTTTTGATCTTACTGTGGCTCCGCCACAGTGGTGGCAATACTGCCTGTTCTGCTCCCACATGGTCTCTGGTGAATCATCTCATGTCCTCCTCCCCACCCCACACACACACCTCTGGCCTATATCCCAGCTCTTGTATGTGTAAATAAATAAATCTTTTAAAAAATTCAGTGTATCTTTAAATTCAGATGTTAAAAAATCACGTCTTCAGAATATTAAGGCTGCTGTTTCCCCTTGTTTAGAAGTACAGTTTATTGTTTTTTGGGGTTTCTTCAGTTCTTAATTGAGAACTATCTGTAATGATCATCCCCTCACCAATTCCTGTGGCCACTCTTTGTTGTTTTTTAAGCATGTCTCTGTAAATACTCTCTCCTTAGTTTTTGAAGAGGGAGAACACCAGGTTGCTGAGTTACATGGGTCTGGATGTTGACTCTTTACCTTATCAAGTGCCTACTTCAGGTGAAGGCGGTGCAGGACAGGACCCGGGACTTGTCTATGAAAACCCATATTCTGGTAAGACCATGTTGTCATTCGAGCTAAAAGGCCCCTGCTGTATCCCTTTCTTTACCCCCACTAAATTTTTTTTGTCTGAGATGCTAATTAAGACCAGTCTCATTGTTAAGACTTGCTGGGCAGAAGCTGAGTACCTAATAGAAAGATTGCCAGGCGAGTAGTGTTAATTGAGAAATAAATCTGAATCTAGAAGACGCAAATCAGATCATTCGCCTAGAGGCAGCAGACACAAATTGAGTCCCGTGGCTATATTCCAAATATATAAATCAGAGAAATGTCTCTACATAGAAGATATACACATACAAAGCTGAGGAAACTAATTAAGGTTTGGAAATGGAAGCACAAGAGGCAGGTTATGCTGCCCAGGCATGGACACTTGCAGCAGCCCCCTGACGGCCTGCCCGAGGAAGCAGGACTGTAGGCCACAGAGAAACTGGGTGGTTTGAAGGACAGGACATAGGGGTGAAAACCAGCCTTGTCATGCAAGGATTTGGGGTCAGCTGTCTTTGCCAAACAGGGAACTCTCCTCTCCTCTTTTATCTCCAAAAGCAGTATGACAGCTCACTTGCTTTTTTGGACAAATTAAAGCAACCGTATCCTCTCAGGAGTCACAGATCTTTGTAACAGGCAGGGGTACATGTTTGTCTTTTCTTTAAAAATCTTTTTAAGCATTTCATTTGAAAAATAGCTGCACCAGTTCAGACTGTTTTCTTGTTAAATTGTTCCTATTTTTATTAAAATCTCATTTCCCCCACACTGAAAATAGGTCTGTTGTTTTTTTTCTGGTTATGTAAAATCCATGGCCATTGAAAATGCCATTTCATTTTCTTTATTTTTTGTCTTTTCCCTTTATCATTGACCTAGATCCCCTCTGTAAGAAGTAAGTGGTGCATATGAGAAATAAAGAATCAGTGGCAGTAGGAGGATGGGAATAATGAGGGCTATAGAAAACACCTGCTAAAACATTGTCAGAGAATCTAGAAATGATATTTTTTTCATTGACTGATATCTTTTTTATTGACCTCAGGTATCCAAGAAAGTTCTGCCCCCAGCCTGGTAAGTATTTGGTTCATAAGATTACCCAGTGAGAGCCTTGAAAAATTTCCCTTCCTGCTCCATTTCATGGGATGGTTCATTTTGATAACTCCATAAATCAAGGGGTCAGTTTGTTCAGTGCCCAATGCAGAGTGAGCTGATTGAGTTGGGGAGAAGAAAGCACAGTTCACCTCTCAGCATTTCCCCCAAGATCTTCACCTGTGAGTTGAATTTGGTAATAGGGTTAGGGAGGAGATATGACCTAGGTAGCTAGCAGAGCAAGGTATGTGCAGTGCCCTTTCCAGGCTGGAAGCTCTTTGAAAGTGTCAGCAGTTTTGGACCCTTTCATTCATGGGGTTCGAAAAAGCCCTGGTGAGCATCTCTCTCTTTTTTTTTTTTTAAAGATTTATTTATTTATACATACATACATACATACATACATACATACATACAAGCACTGGGTACAGTCAGAAGCACGGGAGGGTGAGAGAATTCACCAGAGCCAGAGCGGGGAGCAGAGCAGGCAGAAGGACCGAAGTACACTGCTGAGGGGAGCAGCGGGCGGCAGGAGAGGTCTGCGCGCCATGCAGGACCCTCCTCCGGTGGCCGGGGAGCAGCCAGGGATAGAACCAGCGCTGCAGAGGCTGCAGGCAACTTCGCAACCCAGCGCTCAACCGCTGCGCCACCGGGGAGGCCCTGCATCTCTTAATGTGAATTTGTTCATACATCCTCTTTCTTTTTTTTTTTTAAAGGTTTTTTTTTTTTTTATAGAGACTTTTTTTTGTTTGTTTGTTTGTTTGTTTTTGTTTATACATGCACTGGGTACAGTCAGAAGCGCGGGAGGGTGAGAGAATTCACCAGAGCCAGAGCGGGGAGCAGAGCAGGCAGAAGGACCGAAGTACACTGCTGAGGGGAGCAGCGGGCAGCAGGAGAGGTCTGCGCGCCATGTGGGACCCTCCTCCGGTGGCCGGGGAGCAGCCAGGGATCGAACCGGCGCTGCAGAGGCTGCGGGCAGTTTCGCAACCCAGCGCTCAACCGCTGCGCCACCGGGGAGGCCCTCATCCTCTTTCTTAAGCACCAGCAAGTGCCAAGCATTTATGCTAGATGCTTGGGTTATAACGGAAAATAAGACATAGATATGATCTCTACCACATACCTTTCATTTGCACTGACTTCTTTGCTCTTTCTCCCAGCTCTCCAAGAAATGCCCCACCTGCAGATCAGATTCTGCTGATATTTTTGATCACGCCTTTGATCATACTTTGGAGCAGCAGCACATGCAGACCCACTGTCTGGCTTGTCCAATTTGTGACCAGATCTTCCCAGCAAAAGAGAAGCAAATCTTTGACGATCATGTGTTCTGCCACTCTGTATAAGTGCCCCAATCTCTTGGATATATACTGTGCACAGATTTTATAGAGTTGAGCCTTATAGCTTCTACTCTGAGTTATGACCTGAGATCTTGTGTATTCTCAGATTAATAGGGATATACTCAGTCTTGCTGTCCTAAAGGTGGAGTCATGTTGATTATCTAAAGGATAGTGTTATGGGCCGTTGCTTTCGTTCTTATGGGTTACTGCCTTTTAAATCCCATAACTCGGTGTCAGCCTCTCACCTATGGTATCCATTCTGCCAAGGGTCTTCAGTACAAGAGGGCCTTGGGATGGAAGTGATCTGGCTGTTCACAATAGGTCTGACTCAAGTATTAAGTGATTAGTTGTCCAAGTTGTCCCCATCACTCATGGTCAGGCCTCCAATGTGTTGTACTTAGTCCTCAGTCCTAACCCTGGGGCTAGAAATGCACCAGAGATTGAGAAGTTCTTCCTCTTTCTCCAACTAAGTGCTTTAGACTAGCAAAAAGTGACACAACAGAGAATGCAGGCATCCAGTTTGGATCTTACAGGGTTCTTGATTTCTCAACTCCCAGCAGAAACATCTTATTTCTGAACTATGGACAGGAAATATTATTTAAATCACAGAAAACCTTTCTCTCTGGATACCCCTGATTGGCATTTTCAACCGTTCGATAGTTTCTATGCACATAATTCTATTGTCCTTTCTTAATGGTTAGTAGGAGTTGTTAGAAACTGTGGGTTTACAACTTTCTAAGCAGGTGAGTTTGAAGACGAATAAGTCAGAATAATAAGTACTACTGTTAATCTCTCTACTACTAAAAAATAAACTAGTCCTCATTTCAGGGACTTTGGTAATTTAAAATAAACCTTGTGCTTCTGGTCTTTTATTTTGAAGCTAATGGGGAAAGTGCAATCAAAAGGATTGTGGGAATTATAGAACCTACCAATGGTTTCTCTTTACCTGTCTTAACTAGTCAAAAAGAATGTCCTGGCAGTTGTCTTGAGGTAGGGAAAGAGGTGACAAAGCTTTAGTTTGAGAACTCTAGAGCCCTGACTTCTTGCTCTTAACATCCATTTTTTGAAAGGGGACAGTGTAGATTTTGGCATCCTTTGTGAACTCGGTTCGATTCCCTCCATCCAGATTTGCCTAATTGAACTATAAGAAGCAATTCCAATTTCTCTCCCCCCAGGGACTGAACAAATAGAAATAACTCCCAAGTAGTCAACCAGCTGGTGACTATATAAATGTGTACAAAAACTTTTTTTTTTTTTAAGATTTATTTATTTAGAGCCTCCCTGATGGCACAAGGGGTTAAGTCTCAGCACTATGATGCTATCAGCAGACACTGCAGCACAAATTCAATCCCCGGCCAGGGACCTGACCCACATGGCACAGCAGTCCTCACCTCTCTCACCCACTGCTCCCCTCAGCAGTGTATTTCAGTCAATCTGCCTGTTCTGCTCCCCACTCTGTCTCTGGTGAATCCTCTCACCCCCCCACACCTCTTGCCTGTACCCCAGTTCTTGTATGCAAAAATAAATCTTTTTAAAAAAACCATTTTTTTATTTATGCATAGACAACTGGGATGTAGGCCAGAGATGCAGGGGATGAGAGGGGGAGAGTGGGGAGCAGAACAGGCAGATCTCCTGAAATACACTGCTGAGGGGAGCAGCAGGTGAGATAGGAGAGGTCTGCTGTGCCATATGTGGGTTAGCTACCTGGTTGGGGATCGAATTCAGGGTATATTGGTGATAGTGCTATGACTTCATCCCTACACCACCAGGGAGGCCCCCCAAAACTTTTGAATGATAAGAAACATGATATCATGAATGAGAGTGAGCCAACTATAACTTTGCATTCCTTCTGGGATTTTCCCTGATGCAATTGGAGTTATGCCCTAGACTATGTTGTGCTAGTCACAGCTCCATACCTTCATTTCTTCTTTGATAAAATGAAAAAGAAATTCTGCTCCTCCTGTATACCATTTTATAAAGATGTCTCTTGGACTCATAAACCTTCTACCCCTTAAGAATCAGATGTTACATTAAGACTAACTCTACAATTGAAATATGATGGGAAGATGGTAATGCAGCTTTTCTGGCAGATACCCTTCCTCCATGCAAAATTTCTGTTGCTCCCCAGATAGTTCCAGTGAGGAATTACTGTTTCATTTATTTTGTACTAGTCAGCTCTTAATTAAGCACATGAATGGAGAGGAGCAGTGGTGCACATAATCCAAATGAGTGAATACCATTTTCTGGTGAATTACCCACCCCTTTGCCCCTACTACCCTGAGGGTTACCATGATTATCAACAGCAGCAGGAGCCCTTCCACAGGCTTGGTTAAAAAAAGAAAAAAAAGAGAAAAAGAAAACAGTTGAGGTGTTAATGATCCTTTTTGCTAGATGTAAAACAAAGCTGCTTTAACCACTGTTCATTATCTCCAGCTGCTCTTACGAAGGCTTTGAAGAGAAAATTATGCTCCAGGCAGCTACTACTGGTAAAGGAAACAATCATTCTTATATAATCCACTCCTCACCCCAACCTTTCCCCTCACTATCTCAATACCACCACGCATTGTATGGCTGTGAAATAACTACAAAAGATAGTAGGAAATTATGGGGCAAATAGTATTTGTATATAAATTGGGTGTTAGGATCTTTGTACTTTTTTTTTTTAATAGATTTGTCTTTTTTTTTTTAATATTTATGTACACAAGAGCTTGGGTACAGGCAAGAGGTGTGGGGGGGTGAGAGGATTCACCAGAGACAGAGTGGGGAACAGAACAGACTGACCAAAGTACACTGCTGAGGGAGCAGCGGGCAAGTTGGGAGAGGTCTGCTGCACCATGTGGGTTGCTCCCTAGCAGGCCGGGGATCGAACTCATGCTGCAGTGGTTGCGGATAGCCTCATAGATTGCATCTTAACCCCTTGCAACACCATGGAGGCCCAGGGTCTTTGTACTTATTATGGCAACAAGTTTTCTAATTCATTTTCTCTTAGTATACTATTAAAGTGTTTTTGCATTACCTTAGCATATTTACTGGATGGACAGTAGGGGAAAAAATCACACTGCACATGAGCGTGTGAAAGAGTGTTGAAGGAAAGCTAACATCAAATCAGAAATACAAGAGTCGGCAAGATACCAATAAACTAAGGGCTCTAAAAGCACCTGTGGATTCAGCCCTTTTTCCTGCCCTTTTTCCTTGCTAAAATTTGGGGTGAATGAAACTGCCTTGATGTTTAAACATTACTGTGATTCCAGTGATTTTTTTTCTACAATGGCAGTGGATTGCACTGAGCTAAGCATGCTCTAACCTGGTCTCCTAGCAACCAGTGTTGATGAGATGCAGTCCATTACCTAGGAAAAAAGCAAAATGGACTCTACATAGAGATCAAACCAAAAGAGATACCTAATTACCATGAGTTAACCAACAGTAGGCCTCAAGTTCAAGGAATTTACCCTGGCCCCAGTGCTGTCCTTAGTGGATCTCATATAAATATTAAAGTAATATATTTACATGCATGGAGAGCTTTATACTTTAGGATGTATCTCATATATTCTATGTGTATTTTCAGTAATCTTTGAAACAGCTATTACTCCCATTGGTAGATGAGTAAGTAGAGAAATTACTGTCTAAAAGTGAAAACAAGTCAAATATCCATCAGTTGATGAATGGAAAATAAGATGTAGGGTATCCATGTGCCATATCCCCAGTACAATGGGATATTATTTGGCAATAAAAACAAATGAAGTACTGTTATGTATTACAACATGGAAAAAGCTTTAAAACATGCTAAGAAGCCAGTCACAAAACAAAACACTATATGATTCCATTTATGTAAAATGTCCCGAATAGGCAAATCTATAGCCACAAAAGAGATTACTATTTCTTTAGGTCTAGGAGTTGAGGGACATGGAGAATAACTGGGGAGAGGAAGATATCAGAGAAGAAGAAATAGGTTTGAGCTGAGCAGACAACCATCATCGTAATAATATATAATATGCTGGAGGTGGGAGGATATTAAAAGATGAGTGGCTCTTAGGGTACAGCAAAAAAGCACAGGATAGAATACCATCCCGCAGTAAAAGGGGACAAACTGGATACATGCAGTGACTTGACTGAAGTCTACAGAGAATCATGCTAAAATGAAAGGCATTTTACATTTTTTTAAGATTTATTTATTTATGCAAGCACTGGGTACAGTCAGAAGCGCGGGAGGGTAAGAGAATTTACCCGAGCCAGAGCAGGGAGCAGAACCGACTGACGAAATACACGGCTGAGGGGAGCAGCAGGCGGCAAGAGAGGTCCGTCGCGCCACGTGGGACCATCGCCAGCAGCGGGGGAACGAACCGGTGCTGCCGAGGCTGCGGGCAGCTTTGCAACCCAGCGCTCAACCGCTGCGCCACGGGGGAGACCCATGAAAGGCAGTTTAGGTCCTCCCCAGTGGCGCAGCGGTTGAGCGCTGGTTTGCGAAGCTGCCCGCAGCCTCCGCGGCGCCGGTTCGATCCCCGGCTGCTCCCCGGCCACCGGAGGAGGGTCCCACATGGCGCGCAGACCTCTCCTGCCGCCCGCTGCTCCCCTCAGCTGTGTGCTTCGGTCCTTCTGCCTGCTCTGCTCCCCGCTCTGGCTCTGGTGGATTCTCTCACCCTCCCGCGCTTCTGACTGTACCCAGTGCATGTATAAACAAAACAAACAAATAAATAAATAAAACATGCCTCTTAAAAAAAAAAAAGGCATTTTAAATCACATTCTGCACTTCCCTTTTTAACACTCTGGAATTTCAAACTTATGGGAACAGTGATGGCCAAGCCTTAGGCTGAGGCAAGGAGAAGGAGAGGGGAAGTGAAAGTGGCTTGAAGGAGCCTTGTGGTGAGAGCACTGAATCTTGACTGAGGTGGTGGATGCACAAACCTACACGGGATAAAGTTACATAGAACTAAACACACATGAACGAGAACAGTAAAATGGGAAGTCTGAATAAGATGGTGGGCTGTTTCAATGTCAGTCTCCTGGCTGTAGTTGTACTAAAGTTTTGCAAGAAGTTGGGGAAAACTGCATAGAGAATACAGGGGCTTCCTCTGTACTACTTTACTTTTTTTTTTTTAAAGATTTATTTATTTATTTATACAAGCACTGGGTACAGTCAGAAGCGCAGGAGGGTGAGAGAATTCACCAGAGCCAGAGCGGGGAGCAGAGCAGGCAGAAGGACTGAAGTACACTGCTGAGGGGAGCAGCGGGCGGCAGGAGAGGTCTGCGCGCCATGCGGGACCCTCCTCTGGTGGCCAGGGAGCAGCCAGGAATCGAACCGGCGCTGCAGAGGCTGTGGGCAGCTTCGCAACCCAGTGCTCAACCGCTGCACCACCGGGGAGGCCCTGTACTACTTTTCTTAAACTGATGTGAATTACCACAAACTTTAAAATTTAGTAGAAAAAGGGGCCTCCCTGGTGGCACAAGGGGTTAAGACGCAACCTGAAAAGCTGTCTGCAGCCACTGCAGCACAAGTTCGATCCCCAGCCGGCCAGGGAGCAACCCAAATGGCACAGCAGACCTCTCCTGCCACCCGCTGCTCCCCTCAGCAGTGTACTTCAATCTGCCTGTTCTGTTCCCCACTCTGTCTCTGGTGAATCCTCTCACCCCACACATCTCTGGCCTGTACTCCAGTTCTTGTATGCATAAATAATTTTTTTAAAGATTTATTTATACAAGAACTGGGGTATAGGCTAGATACACGAGAGGGTGAGAGGATTCACCAGAGACAGAGCGGGGAACAGAACAGGCAGACTGACAAAGTACACTGCTGAGGGGAGCAGCGGGTGAGACAGGAGAGGTCTGCCGCGCCATCTGGGATTCTCGCCTGCCGGC